TTCCTCCTCGAATCCGTGCCCGGCGAGATCAGAGATAGCGCTTTCGTCTCTCCTGACAGTATCCGGAGACACCGTAGGGTACCAGTCGTGCTTATCCCTGAAGTCGATATCCGGCAGCGTGTCTTGGCGTATGTAGGCTTTTATGTTGTGTCTTCTATGTCGATTGTGTTGGGTGTTCCTCGTCTCCCCTCTCTTCCTAGGGGGGCTTGTATTTATACCCATAGGTGTTCTTTTGTTCAAGTAAAACTAGGGAAAACAATATGGATACAATCTAAGTAGTCCTTGTCGTTTACATGTAGAACTCTGGTTGTCTTTTCTTATCCGGAACTCCTCCTATATTCGAAGGTTGATTCCGTATAGGACATGGTATGTAGTGGGTCCTACCGAGATTTAATCAACTACTATTAGGTATGTGGTATTCATAACCCTGACATATATGTTTTTAATTTTTATAAACTTGGTCAATATTTAATAAGTTTGAAAAAAAATGACTTGCAACATAATACGAAGACAGTATCGGTTAACGGTTCAGGAAGTGGTGTATTGTCGGAAAACTCAGCCTTTGATCCCGATGGTCCGATCGGTCACATAGGTCTCGGACGCAGTGCATGTTAGGTACTCCCTCTATCCGAAAAAAACTTAAAAATGGCATGCATGCTAGGTCACTTAATTTGGACAAAAGGGTAATTCAGATTCATTCTACCAGGAGGGGATGTGAGGGTTTTCGTTTTTTTACGGAGGGAGCAAGCCATATAACCCCATGGGTTCTCGTGTAGGTACGGGTGTGTTCGGATGCTACTTTTCTCAACTCCTCTCCCTCGTTTTTTCTGCGCACGCTTTTCAAATTGTTAAATGGTTTGTTTTTTTAAATAGTTTCTATATGAAAGTTGCTTTAAAAAATCCAATTAATTCATTTTTGAAAAAAAAAATTAACAAATAATTAATTAATCGTGTGCTAATGGACCATCTATTTTCCTTGCGCACCGTACACAGTTCCCATCCCTTGGTAGCGAACACACCCGTAGGATGCGTCCGGGGCGGGAGTAGACAGCCGCTTTTGCATTGCTCCGGCCGGCGGCATAAGGTGGTGGAGAGATTATACATAGAGGTGGCCGGCGTACGTGACGGCGATCGATGCGTACGTGGATTGATCGAACCGACCTGCCACACTAGTGAGTAGTGACACTGCGGCATACACGAATTTGGCTAGCTAGCTTCTGCCTGCAAAGTTGCCAACGCCCGCGTCGTGGGTTCGGCACGCCGCACGCAGCACGCTATTAGCCTGCGTGTGCCCGTAGCTTGCGGGTTCAATCCGAGGTCGCGCGCCAAGTCGCCATCAAGAGGCGGGACCGGGGAACAGGCCGGTTTGGTCGGCGCGGGCGGCGTCGTGATGGCGGGTGCAACCGGTAAACGGTTAACGGTTGAGAGAGTGTACTACTCGCTCCGTCCTATAACATAAGCGATTTTAAGTTTTTATTTGTACCATTTGACTACTCGTCTTATTCAAAAAATTTGGAATTATTATTTAATTTTTTTGACTTACTTTATTATCTATAGTATTTTAAGTGTAACTTTTCGTTTTTTATATTTGCACAAATTTTTTGAATAAGACGAGTAGTTAAATAAAATAAGAAAAAAACTTAAAATCCTTTATATTATGGAACGGAGTGGGTACTAGAGTGTACTGAAACCTGCCTGGTATAAACAAGACTACTCCTATCTACTATCAGTTGGAGCAGCGCACAGAGCAACAACCTTGTGTGTGACACACCGACCCCATCGCAACTACCCGATGTGGCCCGCCCAACGGCCCAAGCCCAGACTCCCCCGGGCCTACCGTTGCTTCTGCTGACAACAAATTAAACCGTTGGATCGGCCGTTATGCTGCCGGGTTTCTGGCCCGGACCACATAACCCCACGGATTCGGTGACGCCCCATTTATCGCCCCGTCATCCGGCCGCCCGACCAGGGAACCGGACGCGACACGCCACGCGACGAGAGGCCGACGATGCGCGCGCCGTTGCTCCTTGGACCGCCGATCACATGGCTCCGCCGCACCTCATCTATCGATACTCTTCTTGCGTGTGCCTCTCCTTGTGTTAGGGTGTGTTTAATTCACGTTTAAATTAAAAATTTGGGTTAAAATTAAAACGATACGACGGAAAAGTTGAAAGTTTATATGTGTAGAAAAGTTTTGATGTGATGAAAAAATTAAAAGTTTGTTGAAAAAGTTTGAAAGTAAACTCGACCTTAATTCTCCACTGGCCACTGCACGCACCTGGCCGTCCGTGTCGCGCTGTGCGTGAGCTTGTCTCACGCGTGGGCGCGCGTACGTGGCCCTGCGTGGCAGCCGGCCACCCGGGTGATATCATGACGACTGTGATGCATATGACGCGACCCACACGGAATTTTATTAGCGCACAAACACGTACTCTATTTACGATCGAGTTGGTATAACTAACGCGATGTATATATAAAGCGACGTTTTTACACGCGCTTGATGGTACTCTACATACTTAGGCAGCGTTTGAGAGGGTAAGGGAGTGAGTTTGTTGGTTTCGTTTTCCGCGCGCACGTTTCCCAAACTAGTAAACGGTGTATTTTTTGCAAAAATATTTTATAGAAAAGTTACTTTAAAAAATCATATTAATTTATTTTTAAAATTTAAAATAGTTAATACTCAATTAATCATAAGCTAATAGCTCACCTCGTTTTACGTATCTTCCCATTCTCCTCAATCCACTCCTCCTCAAATAATCCCTTAAGCTCGGGCGGCCCAATGCATGGGCCATGTGTAATGAACAGATGCATGCACGGCCGGTCCGGTTCCTGTTCATCGATGGACGTACGATTACCATGGTCCATGTATGGCCGCCCCATTCACTGGTGGAGAAACCATCTTTCGTCGGTCGGCCGATTTCCACAATAGTCCCGGATGCAACAAAAACCGGGGCTAAAGATGATCTTTAGTCCCGGTTCAAAAGGGTAACGGGCATATTTGATCTTTAGTCCCGGTTTGTGTTACCAACCGGGACTAAAGATCATCTTTAGTCCCGGTTCGAATGCTGTCAGGGCCTGTCAGGCCCCCCCGGGATCTTTAGTCCCGGTTGGTAACACCAACCGGGACTAAAGATCGTAACTTTAGTCCCGGTTGGTATTACCAACCGGGACTAAAGATCCCGGTGATCTTTAGCCCCGGTTGGTGCTACCAACCGGGACTAAAGTCTCACCCCTATATATATATGTCTTTTTCCTCCTCCAGCTGTCCGAGCAAGCTTCAAAATTTCTTCAAAAAAGAGGGGAGGTCATGCCAAAATTTCTATTGAATTTATTTTGGTGATTACATATAAATCGGAGGTGCCTAAAAGGTTTGCAACTTTATCCTCCAATGTTTTTTTTTGTCATACTACATTTGCACCTATGTTTTGCACACTTTTTTGTCTCCAAAATTTAGTTGTAAGTTGATGAGAGAGAAAATGTGTGTGGGGAAGAAAGAATATATAGAAATTTAGTTCATTTGCTAAACAAGGTTTTATAAAATAGCAACAGGGCCATGAAAAAAAAAAGGTCAGCTCGATCTTTAGTCCCGGTTATTTCACCCGGGACTAAAGATAGCGATCTTTAGTCCCGGATTGATACTCCCGGTTTGGAAACCGGGACTAAAGGGGGGTTACGAACCGGGACTATAAAGGGTTTCTCCACCAGTGATTCCTCGTCATTGTTTAGGAGAACAGTGAGTGGTACGCACCTGCTGCTAAGCAACGTGTCTCGATCGAGAGCTAGTCCTGAATTGATGTCATCCTGTATTCTCCTGTGAGATACAGTAATATAATAGTTTTGCACATGTGTATGTCTCGTATATACTCTCATGGCATGTTTATTCATCATTAATTCGGCCACATGCATGGGGCTATATGTATCTATGATGCAACATGCATACGGTGCTCCAGGACAAAACACAGTTAGCGACACGATACACACACACTATGTGTATGGTCAGGTGATCATTTGGGAAGCCGGCCTATGATACTTAATTGCTTGATCCTGTAGAGTTGGGTACTTAGGTCTGAAGGATTAACACTTTAACATATCTTATACTTATGGGATTAATTAATTTCTTGTTTTTGGGAGAACTTACTTGTCAACTTAGAGCAAGTTTAAGAACATGTACAATGGGAAGCTATAAATAAACACAATTCAAGAAGATAAAAGAGAAGAGAGAATGATAGCGGGCTATAGATTTGTAGCCAGCTGCAGTACATACTCTAAGGTGCATGTGTGTATGACATGTGTGACCAAATATTAATTATGTAATATATATTTATATATAACTATTATATGAATTGTCTATTAAGTTAACTATATATGATTTAGAGTCAACAGTTGGCTATACTATTAGAGCAACTTAATAGCCAATTTATACAATAGTTACCTATAAACATATATTTACACTACTAATATTTGGTCCCACTTGTCATACACATATGTATCTTAGAGTTCGTGCTATAGCTGGCTACAAATCTATAGCCCGCTACTCTTCTATCTCCTTTTTTATCTACTCGAGATGTGTTTATAGCTCTCCTATTGTACCTGCTTAAGAGCATGTAAAATAGCAGGCTATAAGCCAGCTATAAGAGCTGCGTGCTACAGATTTGTAGCCAGCTGCAGCACGGACTCTAAGACACGTGAGTGTATGACAGGTGGGACTAAATATTAATTATGTAGTATATGTTTATAGGTAATGGATTGACTATTAAGTTGACTATAGATGATAAGGAGCCATCAGTTGGCTATATTAAACTTGCTCTTACCGACTCGCCGCCGTACACAAGTGTCGCCGACGCTACCGGCGCAGTTAGCCCGCTACTTTACTGATGGGCCGAGCAGACTCGATCGGGCCCATATACTTGCCAACAAATCTAGCCCTTTCGGCCCATTTTGACTGCAACGAGAGAAGCAGAAACGGAGAGCGAGGAAAAAAAGGGGAAGAGAAGTTGAAAAAGAGAAGAAATCTAAGCAAAGGCAAGGCACAGCATCGTCTCCAGCGGAGTCAAACACAAAGACAAGTCGAGATCCGGCGGCCGGTGGCGTCCTCCTCCCTCTCCCTCCTCCCCAACCAACGGCGCTGATCCCCTCCGCCATCTCCGTCCATCTCCGCCTAAAAAAACTAAGGTAAGCCACCAACTTTCCCTTGACACCAGCAGTAGTGGTAGTCGCTCTCCTTCTCACCGACCTCTGCCATGGCCCAGCGATGTCGGAGGGGTTCGACGGGACGGAGAACGGCGGCGGCGGCGGCGGAGGCGGAGTAGGGAAGGAGCAGGACCGGTTCCTGCCGATCGCCAACATCGGCCGCATCATGCGCCGGGCCGTGCCGGAGAACGGCAAGATCGCCAAGGACTCCAAGGAGTCCGTCCAGGAGTGCGTCTCCGAGTTCATCAGCTTCATCACCAGCGAGTCAGTGTCGCCTCGCCTTTGTATTTGCTGTATATATCGGTGCCGGAGCTTGCTTGATCCGATCCAGTTCGGAGCGGCGGCGGCGCATTTTGTCGTGCACCTGCCGTGCAGATGGCAAGGGTGACTGACGGCCATCTTTGGCATCTTTCCCTGCAGAGCAAGCGACAAGTGCCTCAAGGAGAAGCGCAAGACCATCAATGGGGACGACCTGATCTGGTCAATGGGCACGCTCGGATTCGAGGACTATGTCGAGCCTCTCAAGCTCTACCTCAGGCTCTACCGGGAGGTATTGTTCCTCTCCTCTCTCTTCCAGAGTGTTTCCTAGTATTGTATTGCCTAGTGATGCATATGTTACTACGTGGGAAGTGAAGGCTGGTTCACCTCGATTAGGTAGGCGTAGGCTTCTATATTCGCACACAGTTTGCCTAAGCTTTTGATACACAGACTGATGCTCATACGAGCTCTGCACTGATTGGATTGTGCATATACCATGAGGCCATGATTCGTGCAAAAGGAGAGAGCTTTCGTGATTGTACTTATATCAAGGCTTTGACTTAGTATTACTTGGTCTGTCACATGGGTTGATTCACTCCAAATTGATGGATGGTTGATTTAGTTGCCAACAGTAGATTGCGGAAAGGTTGAATGTGCTGCCTGAATGTTAAGCGCCCAATATTTCTAGGTCCAGGGCATGCACTGTAAAGGTGGAATTTTCTTTGTACTTATTGGCATGAACCGATTCAAAATGGCCGTAGTCTTCCATCTGTAGGCGTGCTGCTGGCAGAGTGGCCAGGTTAACATGGACTGTAATTTTGTTTTATGTCCATAAAGCTACATATCTGATGAACGCCAATGCAAACTTGCAATTGTCAGATTATGAACTACATTTATGCTGAAGACATGTAACATTTTTGCTGAACTGACATTAGTGCCTGGACCAAGATTGATTTTTTTTCATCAGCATATATTTTTAATTTCAATCACTAGTGAGATATAAAATACAACAAAAGGATGTTTCATTGTCCTCCAGAAAAAGATATTTACCGATATAATTTCCTTTGTTTTCTTTTCCATATTATACACAAATTTTTACGTGCACTGATAGTTTTTTCCCCTTTCTTGCATGAATAACAACGGCCGTTGATTACCCTTGATGGTACTGAAGACGGAGGTATTTCCCATGTTGTATTACTTGTTAATCTTTAAGTTTTGTTAATGAAGGTTTATTCAATTTACTTGTTGATCTTCTAGGGTGACACAAAGGGTTCAAGAGCTTCTGAACTGCCAGTAAAGAAAGATGTTGTACTTAATGGAGATCCTGGATCATCGGTAATATATAGTTCCTTGTGCCAAGTTTTAATAAAACGAAACATTGCACTACCATCTGCCTTTCTTTATTGTCAAGCACACATTCACATATTTTTCCCTACAACTTGCTGTATTATCTTTTTTGCAAGTGCTACATCAATATGCACAAAACTCTCATTGTTTTGACCATTCTTCTATTCATGCCAGTATGCCACTAGCTGATGCATCAGCAGCGTGAAAATGTTAACTGTTTTTTTTAGTTTCTAAGATTATCGTTTGGGCTGTAAACATATTCATAACCTGTTATTTCTGCTGCTGCATTATGGGTCTGTGATTTTGTTGGAGGGCTGTAGTCAGGCTAGCCTTTGACTGGTTCTGGTATAAAAATGGATTGAAAAGCCAAACATAAAGCCTGGTTTTGTTTTAAGGTTTCATGGAAGCTGGCTTACTTTGTATAAACTTGTTATTTTCAAAAATCAATCACTTCTAGATTGCACATTGTTGAGCCATGCATTTTCTTTCCTTTTGCTTTTCAACCTTTAATACCATTTCTGTATCATGATATATTTGTTCCCCTTACTTTTGGTTTTCCTGCTATTCTTGATCGGTAACCATTGGTAGCCATATTAGTAATATTGAAAAGTTATTTTTGGATGAATATAATGGTGCAAGCAAATCTCACTGGAGCATTATTTTCTTGACAGTTTGAAGGCATGTAGGACGAGGAGTGTGATAGCATCTAGGAAGGAGAACCATCGTTTTTAGGGAAAGAACGCTCCAGCATCCTGTTATGTTGTAAGCAGGATGCTTCTAAAGTTCCAATACCTTGTTACCACGAATGTTAGTCGTCGTTCTTTTTGAAATGTTCTTGTGTTAGCCAGGATGTCCAAATTTGTTGTAGGTTCTAGTTCAGTCGTGTGTTGTGTGGTTGTGTCTAACCATATTTGGCCGTTTCCGGCTGTCCTGCATATGCTAAATTCAGAGGGGTAAAGAGATCTAAGAGAAACTTTTCTAAACTCTTACGCAAGCAGGTGTGATGCTGACACAAGTTTATGCAAAGTTGGGTTTCAAATTCAATTCTAATCTGTTGAATACTTTTACAAACATTAAAAACTCTATCATGCCACCAAACAACTGCAGAACTGCACCGCTTGAATAGACCAGCTCTGCAATGTTACTTCTACTATCTGAGTAAAGGACACATCCTTTTGAAGTTTCGCTATTTACGATGCGACCTCTGCAGCTTATTATAGTTGATAATGGCCTTGTTAAGTTATTTTCAAACTTCCAAAAATTCCGTCACATCAAATATTTAGACATATGCATGGGACATTAAATGTGGCTGAAAAAAACCAATTGCACAGTTTGCATGTAAATTGCGAGACAAATCTTTTGAGCCTAATTACGTCATGATTTGACAATGTGGTGCTACAGTAAACATTTACTAATAATAGATTAATTAGGCTTAATAAATTCGTCTCACAGTTAACATACGGAATATGTAATTTGTTTTGTTATTAGTCTACGTTTAATATTTTAAATGTGTGTCCGTATACTTAAAAAAAATTTGGCTAAAGAACTAACCACAGCCAATGTCTGTTGGCTGCAATATTATGATTGAACAGGTCTAAAAACAGCGGTAACAGTGTTTTGGTCGGTCACGGTATTGACTGAAGAACAAACAGCAGCAGCATGTAGTAAAGCTGATGTAACGTATGTTGACCATGGTAGCTTGTCAACTACGGGGCCCAAAGAGCAGACGCCAATGCAAACCACCTCGACCTCTTCTTCCTCCTCCGTAAAAATCCAGAGAGCACCACTGCCAACTGCATGCGTAATGCATATTCCTAACACGTGTGGCCGTCATGAAAATCACCATTTTTCGTTGGTCTCATAATTTAAGAGTTGATATAATATCATACTTAGCCTGAAAAAGCTGTACTTTTTTATGGGCTTTCATGACTGATTCAATTATAGTATATCGAGTGAGGATGACAAGTCAGTGCCACTACATGATCTACCGTAGTATATTTAAGTCATTAAGTGCACCGAGAAGGAAGAGTAGTTCGATGTTTGTGTTACCTATCTCTCTACCTCTTATTCAAGTTCTGTCCAAAATCACAGTCAAAATTTCTGCCAGTGACGGCTCATCATCTACTTAATTATCTTCTTCTTCTTCTTCTTCCTCGGTTCTCCTCATCCTGAAGAAACTGTAGCTAAGCTGCCCATTATCATCCTCTCTCTGTGATTGTTTGGTGTGTCGCTTCTTCGATGTCAGGGGAGGATGAAGCGAAGCCGGTGACCGTGAAGATCATCGAGACGGTGTACGTGGAGGCCGACACCGCCGACGACTTCAAGTCCGTCGTCCAGAGGCTCACCGGCAAGGACGCCGTCGCCGGCGATGCACCGGAGCTGAATAGTGCCCAGAGGTTTGGCTCAGGGAGAGAGGCCAGTCGCCATGGCGATCACAAGGTAGGCTCCTCCAGCGAAAAGAAGAGCAGCTAATAAAGAAGCTATTGCTGCATGAATAAGCATAGCATAACTTGCATGCTACCTCTTCAATTATTATTTTTTAGTAAATTACTTAATCTTAGTTCCTCTTCATTTCTACCCTAGCTGTTCTAATGTTCTTTCAATCTTTCTGCCCTTTTCTTTACTTTGTAAATTTAGGTCAGAATCTATGAATAACACATCGTTTCATCTACTTTCTGTGCCACTATGAACAAAATTTAGGCTTCTTTTCTGGCCATGCATTATGCATGGATCGGAGCTCGTTAAAACTTTTTTTTAAAAAAAAAATTCTGCATAGAAGACTGACTAGCGTGCATGATAGAGCATAGAGGTAATTAAGCCACGGTGAACTGGATTTGCCGCTTTGAATCAAAACGACAAACCCCAAAAAATATATTCAGAAAGAACAACCGAAGGTTATTAGCTTAGTCATTCTTGATTACGTGATAAGCTCCATTTTCAATTAATTAACCCGGGTTGGCGGTTATTTTCTCTTCCCAGTGGCCAGTAGTAGTTACCTGTAAGTCTCAATTACGGCTAGCTGTGATTTGTGAGAAGCCAGTTCCTCACAACAACATTAATTATTGTTCTCACATTGAAAGAGAACAGTACGTTGTTACCTGTAACATTCCTGATTGCTTTGATTAACTGTTCCACAGTAGTACTAATACTGCTTGACGGCGCGCTTTAGTTAATTATCTGATACTATATTTCAGAAAATCTCTCGACCTCCATAACCTCAATATACAGAATGAGTGCGCATCCACCCTTTTTCACAGGTTCTTTTATTCTTACGAGTTTGAGGTACATCCGTCTCTCTACATATCACTTGATCATGTATGGATATGGCTTAATTAGCACGGGATTATTAAAAACTTTATTCAGCATAATTTAAGGTTTCATGAAAACCATGTAAACCGAACAAGTTCCAAACCAAACTCCATGCGCTCTCCCCACTCTACGCAGCAAATGCAACTCACGATTTTTCATACCCAGCAACTCTCACCATGAACTTACCATCACGTACCGTGACTGCATGCATACACAGCAGTAGTAGGAGGAGGAAACCTCGCGCTGTGTCGTGCGGCTCGTTTAAAAAAGAAAAACGAGATAGTAATAAGTACTTTCTTCGTTTCAGGTACGAGATGTTTTTGACTTTGGTCAAATTTAAACTACTCTAAGTTTAACTAATTTTATAAAAAGATAGTAATATTTTAAATAAATTTTCATAATATATTTATTTTGGGTTAAAAATATTACTACTTTTTTCTATAAAATTAGTCAAACTTAGAATAGTTGGACTTTAACTAAAGGTAACCTGAAACAGAGGAAATACATAGCAGTAAGAATATTACGTAGAGCATGAACAAGCATGTATATATGCTGCATGCATATGGCTACTGGCCGGCGGCGAAGGCTTCAACAGGGAAGGTCTTGGTGACGCCGGCGAGGCTCTTGAAGTGGATCTTGCCGGTGGTGGAGGGTTCGTCGACGGCGATCTCGTTGACGGGGGGCCAGAGCATGAGCTCCTTGGCCTTGACGCCCTTGAGCTTCTTGATGCACCTGGGCTTGACGTAGCCGGTGATGTCGGCGTCGTAGCTGACGTGCTTGCCCACCATCCTGAAGTGGTGCTCCACCTTCCTCCGCTGCGCGATCCACATGTAGCCCGTGGCCCGCGCGAAGCCGACCTCCACCACGTCGCCCAGCGGCAGCAGCCCCAGCGGGAGGCCGAACTCCTCCAGCAGCGACGCCGCCATCTTCATCCCCTCCTCGTGGCCCTTCGCCACCACGGCTCCCTCCCTCTCCGCCGCCATGGCTAGCTGATGGCCTCGATCGATGTAGCTAACTAGCTCGCCGATCTTGGTGGTGTGTGGGCTGTGAACAATGTGTTGGGGTGGTTTAAGTAGGTGAGGGCAAGCGCTGTTTTTCTTGTTTTTTTTTTCATCGGATTTGCCGTTGGTTTTGGGAGTTTAGCGCGGTGTTTGCATGCGCATCGGCGTCGCAGACTCGCAGATGTTGTGGTTGACAATACCGATGGCCGGCAGCGAGCCGGCTGGGAGCGTCGGCGTCGAGATTTCGGCGGAATCACACGTTCTTTTCACTGCTCACTCCTACCTCCGTATTAAAATATATTAGGAGTTTAAATTGTTGGAATAGAAAACGATAGAAAAGAAAAAAAAACAGAATTCTGAGATGAATGTAAATGTAGGTGAAATTATAAACGCGTGAAAAACACAAAAATAACCATTTGATTGGGCCATAGAAAATACGCATAAATCAATTGAGAGAAATATAGACCTTTTTTTTTCAAAATGACTAAAGCTCTTAATGAGTTTTCTTTCTTAATGGGTTTCCCTTGCAATCTCTATGGAATTGTATATTGCGTAGAAATTTTAAGGATAGAATATGATTCAATCGTTTGTTTCGAAGAAATTCATTAAAGTTTTCCTATAGGATTAAAATTAATTTCTATGTTTTTCATATAAATCAAAAGAGCCTAGTCTAGTACTCGACTAGACACACCGTGGTGTCTATTATTACGAATCTGTCCAGAGAAGTGGAGTATATGGTATTGAGAAAGCTAAGTATTCAGAATCCGGGCCTCATTTTATTCGGGAAAAAGATGCTCAGGCCAGTTCCAGGTCACCTGATGGCAAGCTCACAAGTTCAGACAGTCACGCACACACATACAATACTCTCGGACAAACTGTAACAAGATGCAAGCTCCCTTGAGATTATCTTATCTCACTCTACGATGACTGCCGGAGCTCTGGGCGCACGAAATCGGCGTTGGCAGGCACGGAGATGTCGACGGTGGGCCGCAGCTCAGCGCACACCTCGATTGCGCCATGGACGGGGTCGGACATGAAGTTGCTGATGAGGTCCTGGTTGATGGGAGCATCCTTGTCCACTGTCACGAATGCTTGCTGGGTCAGGATGTAGTCGAAGCGTGGCGCCCATTTCCTTGATCCCAGACGAGCCGTCGTTGAGCAGTTGTCAACCATGAAGGCCACTCCACGAGCATGCATGAAGGGGTTCAGTGAGTCCACGGACTCGATGACGCTCTCGTTGATGATCTCTGAGTAGGAGTGACCCTTCTTTCTAAGGACCTCGATCTACAAACATTGCAAAACAGATTGGAAAATTGAGCGCTATTGATTCAAGCATATACTGTTGTCAGTTGGTTTTGTCACTATATGAGAGGTTGACGAGGAATTATGGGAAGACTAACCTGAGCCATCATCAGTGCAACGTAGACTCCAGCAGTGAAGGGATGCAGGGGGCCAAGATCGTTTTCTGGTCGGGTTGACCGCACCTTTTCACCAACCTTCCACATACGAGTTTGGTCGATGTTGCCCATAGGGAAAGCAGGAAGGCCTTCCTTCTCCTGTGGAAGCATAGCCAATGAGTTAACAAATAGTTACAGGCATTACTCTCTCTGAGAACTCCAGACTAAACAATCGAAGAAAAGTATGGTGAACTTTAGGCAGGAATAACTTACGTAAAATCTCCGTCCAGCCAACACAACACTCCGGATTTCACTTCCAGAGGCAACATCTTCGTAGCACTCATAGAGTATGTCCATGCAAGGATAGAATGATGCACTGTAGGCCTTGTTGAATTCCTTCTTCCCCTCCTCTGTCAAGGAGTTGTACACTTCAAGCATTCCCTGGTTTTTAAAACATACTCTTATAAGTGAACAACAAAGAGGGATGATAAAACTATCAATAATTGTGTACCTTCTTTGAGATAGTTTTCGAGATAATTCCAGTGATGCCCTCTACGGTGTTTTTGTATGCCATTTCTTCATCCATTCCTTGCTCTGTGTATCTCCTAAACAGAGCCTCCACGATGCCATGAACAGCTCCAAGAAGAATGCCTGGACACTAACTGATTAGCTACAGTGCAATCACCAAATGCAACATAAACAGGAAAGTAGGCTCACCTCGCTCCCCAAAGATATCGCTCTTGTACTCCTGTTCTAAGGTAGTAGCAAATGTGAAGGGAGATCCCAGCGCAACTGACCATCCTAGAGCAACATCAGTTGCCCTTCCATCAACATCCTGTGCAAAAAAAGTGCATAAGCACAGAGGAATGTCTTTACAAAATCTATAATTGAAAATATGTTTTTCAATGAAACCAACTTACCTGGTGAACAGCAAAACTAGAGTTGATACCAGCACCATTAATTTCTTTGCCTTGTACGTATAACCTCCGAACGGATGGACCCATTCCCTTGGGGCATACAGCAATCACGCTGATATTTTTTGGGAAATCAAGGCCAGCAGATTGCAAATGTCCAAGCAAAAATCCATGTGATAAACCAAGAATACTGTTTGGTTTCATGTGAGAGAAGATTTTCTCATAGTTGTCTGCCTGGAGAAAGTGAAAAGAAAAATTATACCGACAGAACACCACAGCAAAGTGTAAGAAGAGAAAGCAACATATAGAAAATGTTAAATGGGTAGAGGGCACAATAAAACTAGGAGATTCAATTCAATAAACAGGACCATGAAACAACAGAACCATGAAATTCAGCACAATTCAAACAAGCATTGGTAAAAGTAACAACATCAAGTGGCAACTAAAATCATGCAGCTAGAGCCTGAAGTAAACCTGTGCAGCGTCTGATATCAACAGCAACACGAGGTCGCTGCCAGAAACAGTCTCCCAAATATCACCCAAGGTTCCACTCTCTTCAGTAAAGCCAGCAGCACGTGCTTCATCAAATGACTTAGAGCCTTTCCGGAGACCAATCTGAAAGGAAACGGCGGAATAGAATGTTGGACTAGCAGGACAATGCAAAGGTACATAAGTGAGGAGGAGAAAAATATAATGGCTTATGAATTAGAATGTCCAAATTGACAAATTGTATAACTCGAATTATTTTTCAAAATAAGAATGGATTATTCAGTTGTAGCCTGTGCACCTTAACAAGCTAGCCATATACAAAGGAGAACGAATATTAGTTCAGTCGAGGCTTCAAACCATGGTTCAGAGCTTTCAGTTAACAGGGCGATTTGCATACCAAAGTATTGCAAAAAGTGTCCTATGAATGAAAACTGAGAATACAGTACAAGATAAGAGTACCTTAACAACAATGTCAGACTTCGCTTCAGCTAGTGAATCCCTCAGGTTCTGGGCTTGTGCAGGCCCCTGAAAAAGCAACGGTAACTCTGTCATGCACAATACAGGTGGTTTTCTTGTCCTGAACCCGAGTAGCATGAGAAATCCATGTAGTAAAAATCAATTGTCAACCCATTCACTACATTGGTCACATCAATTTGTTCATTATTCAAGCAATTTGTTGTGCAATTGATCAACCAGTGATTGGAAATGTCACATCCACGACACTGACCATCTAAATGGAACGGGAAAATAAGTCTGAAGGCAAGAAAGAAAGCGTTTTTTTTTCTTTTTGTCGAACCTGAGAGCCCCATCCAATCACTCCGATCTGCTTGATGCCCTTGAACGCCTCGGGAAGCAGCGGGAACAGGTTCCTCCCACCCCTCACGATATACTGCGTGACAGAACATTTCAGCGAGACAAACAAATCGCATATGAGAAAAAACAGAGAGAAGTAATCCAGAAAAAGGGAGGAACGGGAGCAAGAAGAGCGGACCTCCTCGTGGCCGGCGAGGGAGACCTTCTCCTTGTTGAAGACGGATGTGTCGAAGTCGAGCGACGGCATGGCGGCCCCGACGGCCGGCGGCGCCGCGACCATGGCGGTGACCGCGCGGCGTCGGGCGGCGAGCGGCGCGCAGGCGGCATGTGAGACCGGGAAGGAGACGGCGGCCGGCGCCGTCGGGGCCTTGGGGGCCGCGGCGGCGGCGGCGGCTAGGGTTTTGGGGTGGGATAAGGCGAGGGTGGTCGAGGCCGCCATGGCGCAGTGCAAGTGCAGATGAAGAGGACGGCGCGGCGAGAGCAGTGGTTGGTTGGTGCGGACCAGGTTAAGCCCAAATCCGAATGGATTTATACACGGGTGACGCAATTGAGTAGGCTGTCTTATTTCCAAACTTTCTAAATTTCTACTCCCTTATTTTTTACGTTTCTCTAAGAATTTTATAAAAAAATATTTTAAAAAATCGTATTAATTCAAATTTTAAGTTTATAAAACTAATAATTGATTAATTATGTTCTAGTAATGAGCAATCTCGTTTTTGTGTGAAAAACTTCCCAACCACCCACAGCGTGAGTGAATCAGTGAATCCTGCGGCTGCGATGCGTCGAGGCGTGTGGGGCCACAGCGCCAGCGGGTCGCGTCGCGGACGTGGCACCCACGTCCTTGGGGGGATGGGATCACGTGCACGGCTGCGGCGGCGAGCAGCGCGTAAAAAAAAAACTTGTCGGTTTCAGCGTGCAACGCATGGAGATGCGCGAGCGCGAGCCGAGCAAGTCAAGCTATTTTTTTTTTGAAAAAAAATAATACGTGCTCGTGCAACGGTGCAACGTATTTCATCCGTCCTTAAAAAAAAGACTCGTTATATATCTAGACATATATCATAGCATTTGCCTCTAGCTATGTTTATTTTTTTTATGTATGTTCAGATATATAGTTAGAGTTTGTTTTTTTTAATAGAGAAAGTACATTTACGGTAGATTACGTGAAGCGATGTGCGATTTTGGGCTAGGGTTTGTGTCAACTTCATCGGTGGCCGTTTGGGTTGGCGAAAGGGGTGAGCTGCAATCAGGGTTTACCTTATCGTTTGGGTCGGGGTTATCGCCACCCCGCGGTAGCGCGATAACCGTGATAATCGCACGATAATCGTCTAAAATCGCACAAAAATCACATCCAAAAATTTGAATTCAAAACTCAACGGTTTCGCGGTTTCACCGCGATAATCGCACGGTTTACCGCGATATTCGCACGGTTATCGCGGGCTGTGTAGCTGAAATAATGTAAATGTAAAATAAATAGGGTAAAAAAAATCAAAAATACGGTTGAATATGTGTAGAAAACTAGAAACTGAGAATAATCAAAAATATGCAGGATACTTAAGGCCAATATCCTCTTCATTTTTCAATCTGTAAACCATTTTTGGTTTTGTCCTCAAATTTGAATTTATCTTACTCTATTTAAAAAAATTCTTCACCATTGGCAATTACAAATCAAGAACTACATCCATGAATTTTTTCAGTTTTTTTTGATTTTTTTTCGGAATTTTGAATTTGGTCAAAATTCATCCAAACCATATCGCCGGTTTCCTCTACCGTATCCCCGCAATAAGCGCGATAATCGCGCGATTATCGTGCGATAAGTGAAACCCTGGCTGCGATGCGAAGCACTGGTGTGTGTATACAGTAGTCGCAATCGGTGGCTACGTCGCGATTATCGTGCGATAAGTGAAACCCTGGCTGCGATGCGAAGCACCGGTGTGTGTATACAGTAGTCACAATCGGTGGCTGCGTCGCGGGGATATATCTGTGGGTCACATGGATCCGCTCCGACAACGACAGAGCGGAGAGTGTGGACTTCTATTTAGCCCAGTATTGGAGATGGCCCGATAAAAAGCAGCAGAGCGACATAGCCCGTGAAGGCCTTGTTTATATGGGCCTCAATCTCGGCCTAATAAAAAAAGGCAGAGGATCTTAACCAGGCCAGATTTGAGGCCCATTCGGATTTTTTAACATAATACCCCCATGCGTACTGTACTTCAGTACTGTTAGTAACGTTGCCAAACTTTGTCAGAAACAGGTCAATTACTCAGGAGTGTACATGATAGAAGTATCATGCATGCTCATGCACGTACACTTGTTTGTTCATCAGTTAGTTCGGTACAGTGCCAACTCGTTGCACATGAGCACGTACGCCCACGTGGTACACAATTAGCAGTAGTACAGGATAAGATTACGGGGGCTTAGTCCTTGTCCAAGCACTCCACTTATCATCAAGTGGAGTAATCATAGCTTAATGCTCCACTATAGTCTTGCCTTTCTTTTCTATCCAATATCCAGCCGACCCACACCAGACCACCACCACCACCCCCATATTAGCATTTGCCTCTTTATTTTTTATCAAATCAGCGCATGCTCAAGCTAGCCAGCCTACCAAGGTGCACCAAAAGATCTGCTCCAATATTTGTACGTGATTGATGTTACTCAGTGTGGGGCTATCGATCGAAATGTTCAGAAAGGTTGCCTGTGAGTCGAACTTTCCTTTAGTTGGTTTAGAAAGGTTGCATTTGAGTTGAACTTTCTTTTAATTAGTTGGAGCATTTACAACGCTGTCAAGGTCCGATCGAGCAAACGGAAATACGCCTGATGTAGCGGCACTGGTACTAGTAGCGATCTTGAGTTCGGCGGCCAGCTTCGGCCACATCATAAATGCCAAAGCAGTAAGCACGTAGGAGTGTGCAAAAGTTAAGAGCGAATGGGTTTAAGCAGATTTGATGATATATCCAACGACCGGATTCCCGACGATGTCACTAGCATCATCATAGTCATCAAGTGTGCAGGCGGGTTTAAGCCAGAACAAAATGATTACGCAGACAGAATTTTAGAACTAAGGACACGACTCTATGATGCCATTGCAGTTTGCAGATAAACAGTTTATGATCAAAGAACACACACACAAAAAAACCATACTAAAACATGGTGTAAAATTGTAGTGTGATGAGATCACAACGGCCTTGGTACGGTGGTAGGCCGGTTGATAGAGGCGGCGGGCCATCGACACCAACACTAGTAGACAGCGCGGCTCACCGGCCCGTGATAAAGCCGCACGCACCAAGCTTTTTCCCCGCAAAGCCCCAAAACCCCCCGCGACCCCAACCCCCAAGTGCTCTCCACGTCGCCCGGAACCACGCAAATCCCACACACTTTTCCCCCAAAAACCACCGTACGCCGAGGCCCCCCCAACCCAACCCAACCCCGCGCCTTTGCCGCGAAAAAAACGTTAACCCACCTCGCGTCTCACGGCTGCGTCGTCTCGTCTCGTCTCGTAGCGCGCAGCTGCACATGCACCGGAGGCTGGCCGCGTACGATCGATCGGCATGGAGGCAGCGGGCGATGATGCCGCGGCGGCGGTGAGGATGAGGGCGGCGGTGAAGCGGCTCAGCTTCGGGACGGCGGAGGAGAGGGCGGAGGCCGCGGGGGAGGTCGGGAGGCTGGCGCGCTCGGACGAGGGGAGGAAGCGGCTGCTCCCCGAGCTCGGCGTCGTGCCGCCGCTCGTCTCGATGCTCGCCGACGCCAGGGGAGGTGGTGCCGGCGCGAGGATGGCCGCGGCGGGGGCGCTGCTTGAGCTCGCCAGGGGAGCACACAGGTCAGTAGTATATCTTCCCGTGTGTTGCGAATTTGCGATTTGCTTGAGCCATCCGTTATTCAGTTTCAGACTTTCAGTTCATGCTTCGGATGCCAACCTGTTTTTTGAGCATCACCTTCGTTCTGTGAATCGATCTGAGAAATGAAGTGCAACTTCTCAGGGTAGAGATACAGTAGAGAAATGAAGTTGAAACCGATCTTGTTCTGAAATTAAATCCGAGTGGGAATTACGCTTTGCGTAATTTTGTCATAAGTAAAGCATGGACCAAACATGAGCGAAGAATAGTTACTGGTTCTTGCAATGAGTAGAACTGTAAAAGGAAACGCCGCGCTCTGATCTTCTTGATCAACTTGGCACATTTGGCTGAGTTATCCTGCTTTCCTTCTCTGGAAACGTATATGCTGAGAATTCGGTTAGTTTTTAAACTTGTCATGATCTACGCTGTTCCAACAAGTTCAAGTTAATTAACATGTAAACCTTTTTCTAAAGCAGAAAATTAGCATGGAACTTTACTAGTTTACTGCACATAGCCTTGATCCTGCTGTTCAAAGTTGATCTTGAGACTCAACTGCCCGTACGCTCTTCTTGAAGAAGTAGAATTTAATACGTTTTGGTTGTTACATCTCCACGTATCTAGACTGCACTATAGCCACGATACTGACATATTCACCATGATCTGAATGTCTAAGAGCAACTGGACCATGCAAAGACCAGATACAACTTTCATACTGCAAGTCTCTGGCAGAGAATTCAGGCTTGAAACTAGCTAGCTTTACTATGTCTCAACCTACAAGCATTTCTGACAACAATTGCTTTCAATCTCTGAATTGAGAGTGATATTAGCTGCTCTAGCCTGTCCAATAGTTCCATAACAACATCTGAACATGCACAACAGCCACACACGCCACATCATTTCTTGCATTCTAGTTTCTGTAGGCATTAGGTGTGGTTGAGCCTACTTTTGTTTCTTTGAGTCCCTTAAAGCCATTGCTTCATGACAGAATCATTGACCAGGAACAAAATGTCAGAACTTTACACGACTCAAAATTCAGCATTGTTCGTTGGTAGTATTAGGCAGCACAGGGATATAATATTCGGCAGGTGCATGCATTATGCATAGGCCGGTTGCTGAAGATTGACTTGGAGCAATACCAAACTTCATAGTTCTTACATATTATCTTCCTTGTTTTCTTGAGAGAATCGTACCGAAGTGTGCCTAACCATGTGTTTCATTTCGTTGTTTGAATCACTTCTACGAAAAGAACACTAAATAGACCCATGTGTGGACATGCATGATAAAAGGGCATTTTCTATGTGGATATGGCTATAGAGCCGCCCATGTTCATGGTGTGCAAATTCAGCCGTGTGACATCACTGATGTGACTGCGTTGATAGTGTATAGTACTCCCTCCGTCCAAAAAAAAAAAATAATAAACCTGGGTTTCCGTGTCCAACTTTTGATCGTTCGTCTTATTTAAAAAAATTATGAAAAAAAAAGATAAGTCACGCATAAAGTATAAGTCATATTTTATCATTTTAACAACAATAAAAATACTAATTATAAAAAAAATTTATATAAGACGGTCAAACGTTGGACACGTAAACCCAGGGTTTGTCTTTTTTTTTTTTTACGGAGGGAGTAGTGCTGTAGAAAAAGTAGACCTCATGTTCTCGTATGTGTGATTCCACTCAGGAATATGGAATCCCAGTTTTACATGTGGTGATGTAGACTGACACTGAATTCCCCTCTGTTTTCCTCATATGCCTATACAACATCATGTAGGATCAGATATTCCACAATGGTGAATTTTCTAACATCAATTACACCCGTGGAAGCATATGAAACAAAGGTGTAATCTAGTAGACCATGATGCATGAACTGCAGGAGAAGTAGTGCTTGCTACATGAGAAAGCATTTCTCATTTGTTTTCACCTTAATCATGTTCATGTTTGCTTTTATATTGTAATTGACTTTTACTTCTGTTTCTAATGTATTCAATAGTTCACGGTGCACTGAATATTCTTCAGTAGTTGTGACATCTAAGTTCTCTGCTAATGGGTAGCAATGCTTTTTGGTTTTCAGAAACAAGGTGCACATTGTGCAGGCCGGTCTTCTGAAGAAGCTGCCATTGCTCATGGACGACAAGGACATGTCAAGAAGCCAGGAGCTCGCGCTCCTCCTCCTCTCCATCTCCTCCCTGGCCAACACCGACTTCCCCCTCGCCTCCTCCGAGCTCCTCCCGTTCCTCGTCGCCGTCCTCAGCGCCGACGACGCGCCGGCCGACACGAAGCTGCCGTGCCTGGGCGCGCTCCACAACCTCTCGGCCAAGCTCGAGCACGTCCGCGACGTGGCGTCGAGCGGCGCGGTGCGCGCGCTCCTGGCGCTCTCCCTGGACCGGAAGACGTCGGAGGCGGCGCTGTCCGTCCTCGGCGACCTGGCGGCGACCGCGGCGGGGAGGGAGGAGATGGAGGAGGACGAGGCGGCGCCGAGGGCGCTCGTGGAGGCCATGACGTGGCACGACGCTCCGCGGTGCCAGGAGCACGCCGCGTACCTCGCCATGGTGCTCGCGCACGGCAGCCGGCTGCAGCGGCGGCGGATGCGCCGGTTCGGCGTCGTGCAGGCGCTCCTCGAGGTGTCCCTCCTCGGGAGCCCCCTGGCGCAGAGGAGGGCGGCCAAGATCCTGCAGTGGTTCAAGGAGGAAGGGCAGGACAGGATCAGGGCGCACTCCGGCCCTCGCATGGAGGGCGCGTCGTCGGCGTCGTGCGACGACGGCGGCGAGGGGGCCAAGGATCGCCGGAACGCCGTGGACAGGATAGTGAAGCAGAGCCTCGACAGGAACATGAAGTCCATATTGCGCAGAGCCACGGCGTCCGTGGACCTGACCAGTGTGAAGCTGCTGGTTGGAAGCTCTAGCTCCAAGAGCTTGCCCTGCGAGACTCTCCATCCATGACTCATGACTCCGTGAGCAAATGTTCAGTTTTCTCTTTTCAGCTGTGCTCTTGCTCAAATGCAGTTTGTCTGATCTGTGTGATCTCTGTAGTTCTGTCTTCAGAAATTAGAGCACAAGAGTGGGAGTCACCTGTAGTCTTTCTTGTACATGAACACAATTCATGAAAGTAACTGTTGTTAATACTTCACTCCCGGACTCCCAGCCACAGTACAGATCAAGAGGAGAGAGAAATAAATACTTTTGAGAGAAAATTGTTCCATGGTGATTGATACATTGGGTATATATCCTATACTCCTACAGTAAAGGAGTGGTATATAATACATCGTTTCAGGCGTTCAGCTTCTGCCAGCGAGCTTGTGCTGTTGCAAATGCTGATTTTGGCATTCCCGTTGCGATTGGAACGTGGAGGCCTTCTCCTTGAGCTCCTGAAATGCTCGCATCGTGTCACCGTCGAATCCACCTGCAAACTGCATGGAACAAAAGGATTGAATACCATACTGAGCTACGGAAAGTTGATAAGTGTTCGTGAAAAGAAAATGGAAACTAGATAAGTAGTACTCCTATGCACTAGTGCTGCATGAGCACTTATTAGTGAATTCGTTCTGATTGAGTACCTGGTGAACTCTGAAGGCGAATCGGACACCTTGAAGCATCAGCTCCTCTTCGTCAGGGCCATCTTTTATGGCCTCAAGCTCAGAGGAAACCCTCCTCAGGTATTTCATTGCTAACTTCACTGACTGGAGTTTGATCTGCACATCAGGGTCAATTTGTCATTGAAATGCTACTAATTGTTCAATGATGGAAGTAGTGTAGTTACAGCAGAAGCAATCCTGCAGCAAGTTCTAGAAAAGAGGTTGTAACATCTAGCAATGGGGAAACTGCACATAATTTTGGCCATCCATTTTTACATTCAACGATTCAGATCGAACGCTACAGTAGTAATGGCTACAGTATTTCGTGCTACAGTATTTTGCTACAGTACTATGTACAGTACAGCATGCAATCTGGATCATCCGATTTGCATCCAATAGCATGCACTACTACTGCTTAAGCTGATCCGAATCCAGCAATGAGATATATGCCATTTAGCTGGAAGTCTGTCAAGGCACTAGGTGGTACGTTGATATACCATTCTACCAAGGAGCTTTGACGAACAATGTCTTGAACAAGATAAAAATCATATGTGCTACGTAAAAGAACCACCTACTAGTATATGCAGGAAATTTCAAACAATCATTTGGACCATTTCCTAGTGGAAAACAACAAGAATGGGTCCATGTTAGCAGCAAAAACAAATGTCGAATTAAAAATACGATCAACATTCTCTGCTACCAGTACATGCAAAACAAAAAAACAGACTCACGAGAGCCCCCTGGCACACATGAACATTACACTGCAAATAAGCAAATCACAGCAAATGGCTGAGAGCCTTCTCATTGGTCCCCCGAGACCTGGCCATTTTACCCCCAAATTCTTTTTGTTGTTATCTCGAGTGTATGTCTTATATGTGTTAATGTTTTTCGCATCCTTGTGCGTGTTCTGGTGCATGAAAAAACCAAAACAAGCATGCACAAATGACATTATTTGTACATGTTCGTGCTACATTGCTGTTCTACTTAAAACCAGATACCATGTCGTAACAATTGAAAAGAAAAACACTGAATTACCTGGCTAACTATTCCTGTGTCCTGCATCCATTCCCATGGGATGTGATAGCCGCGGTACCTGTTCATCGCGCCATCTCGCACTCGCGCAAGGCTGTACACTCCATGCTCCAACCTGCCAATGATCAAAGATGATGAGCACAAATAGCAGACCAGAACTAGCACATAGCTGATTGCTCAAATCAGCATTAAGTAAGCCGGGCCAATGCAGGACAGCTTACTTCTCGAACAGCGCCTGCATCTTCTTGAGGGCAGAAGAGCAAGGCTGCCGTGGATCATCACAGAACGACGACGCCTCCTCCTCGATCTTCTTCAGATCACGGTAGCCGAACGCCGCCTCGCGCAGCGCGTCCGCCTTCTGCTCCGGCCACTCGAAGTGCTTCAGCACCGCTCTCTCGTCCACCTGCGCAGCAACACGGTGAACATCCCGATCAGTCCATGTCCAGCTTCAAGTTAAGCAGATGTTTCATGTGAGAGTGAATGGATGTAGCTGGCTAAGTTCACCAGCCGTGAGAGCTCAACGTCGAGCCACTTGACGAAGGTGACGACGTCCTCGATGTCGACGAACGCGGCGCCTTCCACCTCCTTGATCAGGAACCGGATGAAATCGCCCTGCCTCTCCACATCGGATTTGATCTGCACGAACACCAGCCACGCATAGAAACCGTCAGAAATTTGCAAGCAACTCCCGAACTTTAACCACGCAGCAATGCAGCATCAACAACAAGAGCAAACACATACTCCCTCCGTCCCAAAATGTAGCTATTTCTAGCACAATGTCTTATTCTAAAATGAAGCTATTTTTTCACCTACTTCCTCCTCTCAACCAATCACAACCATTCTTCTTCACCTACTTTCTCTTTTCAACCAATCACACACTTCCTCTAATAATTTTCACTTACTTTCTTAATACCCGTGTCAATATTAAAAATGGCTTCATTTTAGGACGGAGGAAGTAGTATGTTTTTTTTCAAAATCCCTATGGTTCAAGGGAACTTGGCGCGAAGCAACGGTCAGCAACGTGGGGTCAATTTGGTCAAGCCTATTCGCTCCAACGGCTAGCTGGGCCTCGGCTAACTGGTGTGCTAGTGGCGTGTGTGTGGCCCACGTGTACCCACACTTTGCTTCTTCTTTTTTTAATTATGGACGTGCAAGTCTCAGCTCAGCTCATTTATTGCCCACGTCTTTTAATTCACTGGTACTCCATCCGTCCTTTAAAAAAAAAACTGGATTTCCGTGCCAATGATTAGACTGTCCGTTTATATGAAATTTTTTATAATTAATATTTTTATTGTTGTTAGATGGTAAAACATGATTAATACTTTATGCGTGATTTATCTTTTTAATTTTTTTCATATTTTTTTTAAATAAAACGAACGGTTAAACGTTGGATACGGAAAACAGGGTTTATATATTTTTTTTTTCGGAGGGAGTAGTCACTGCGTTTAGTGTGGCAGTGACAGTATCGCGGCCCCACGAATCAATCTGACAAAGGGTCCACCCTCGAATTCCAAGCAGCTACTCTAATTTCCTTTTTTTTTTTAATTCCCAACTGCAGATTGCCGTGTTATCTTAGATGGATGAGAAAAATCCAAGAGGAAGAAATGCAGGTAACAAGGAGAAAATGTCAATGACTTGCAAACATTCAGAGAGTGAATACACTATTACTACTAGTTCTCTTCTCCATGGAATCGGGGGTGGGGAACTCGAGAAAGATGAACAGAGAAAAAGGTTCTTGTTTTAACCTGTGTGTTGGTGTTAGAATGGTTGTATTCGTATGCACGCTCGAAAAGACGATAACTTTCTACAGTTGTTTCTTTGTTCAGTTGTACTACAACTACTCTGATTGAGCCAGTTTGTTCAAACCTTTTGCTTTCAAGAGTTTTCAAGAGACAAAATTCAAAGAGAATATGGGGGAAATGCTTTGAAAAAAAACAGAGAAAATGAGCGATTTTCAAGGAGAAAAAGACTTACGGCGAGAAGATGAGCGGAGCGGTTCTCGATCTCGCCGATCATGTCCCTCGCCGCCGCCGCGCCTCCGCCGGGGCACGCTTCCGCGCCGCCGCCGCCGCCGCCTCCGTCCCTCTTCGAGTCTCGCCGCATTAGCGAGTGGTAGAACTCCACCACCTCCGGGACTCGCCGCACGCACGGGCCGGACGCCGGAGCTGAGGACGAAGTCGTCGCGGGGGTAGACGTTCGAGAAGTTCTCTTCGCTGCGGGCGGCGGCGGCGGAGGTGGAGCCGGAGGCCCCGCGCTTCCGCTGCTTGAGGTGGATGGCGACGGGCTCGCGCTCCGGGACCTCGGCATTGGCGGTGGCGGCGGCGGCGGCGGTGGCGGGGGTATTGGAGGGAGCTTCGAGAGCTCAGGTAGGCGGCTTCTTGATGCTGCGGTGTCTGAAGAGCAGGACGGCGTCGATGGGGCGGACGAGGATGATGAACTGGACGAAGAGTTCGCCGGCGAAGCGCGGGACGAGCCGGAGAAATAGGACTTGGACTTGAATGTTGCCGGCATTGGCGGCGGCAGCGGCGGCGGGGGAGGAGGGGGAGGAGGACGAACGGACGAACATCCTGCGACCTTAGCCGACTTGGCCGAGTTGGTCGCCGCGTTGGAGCTCTCGGAGTTGTCCGACGACGCCGACGACGAGCAATCGTCGGGACCGGTCGCGACATCCCTCTGCCGCCTCTTCCTCAGCTCGGTCATCTGCCTCTCCATCTCGAGAATCCTCTGCTCGTTGTCCCTGGAGCTCGCCGCGGCGGCGTCGAGCGCGGCGCGCAGGCGGGCGTTCTCGGACTCGAGACGGGTCAGCGCGTCCCTGCACCGCCCGAGCTCGCTGCTCTTGGCGGCGAGCTCGTTCTCGAGGAACGGCACGATGGCGACGGTCTCCTTGAGTATCTTGTGCTCCAGCAGCTCGGTCCGGAGGCGCGACTCCCTCTCCTGCAGCTCCTCGACGAGCCGCACCAGCTCCCCGACCTCCGGCGCCGCGCCGCGCGCCGGCTGCACCTGCGCCGACGAACGCGGGAAGTACGCCCCGAACGACCGCGCGAAGACGCCCGTCTTGGACCCCGACGCCGACGCCGAGGCCGACGCGGGCGAGCCGGACGACCTCCGCCGCGGCGTCTCCGGCTGCCCCGCCGCCGCATGGTGCGCCGCCGCCTGCACCAGCGGCGGCGGCGGAGGCGGCGCCTTGCGCGAGGACGACGTCTTGGGCGTCGCAGGGCTACGCTGGAACCCCATGGCCGCCTTGACACGCCCGGCCACCATTGCCTCTGAAGAACACCACTAGGATCGCGCGGCGGACATGGACATGGGTAGGCGTTTTGGGTTTAAAGAGAGGTGGGGAGTTGGGCGCGGTTTCCGAGGAACGGTCTTGGGTTTGGTCCGAGCAGTGAAGGTTGGATACTGTAGGTGTACTCCTCGTCAGCTCAGCTCGAGCTCATATGAGGTGGAATCTGAACGTTGGAGGAGATGAGATGGATTAAAACTGCATCTGCTTCTTTGCACGATCCGAATCTGGAAGCCCCCCCCTCTTGACCTTTTTTGCTTTGCTGCTGCTTTGCTCTGTTCATCTAGCAGCGCAGCCAAGATTAATTTTATCACTGATCTAAACAGATTAGGGCGTGGCACTACTGCTTTGGTGCCACTGCCACCATTCAGGGTGAAAAAAAAGGATAGAGCCTCTCCCACGCATCAGATTTGAAATGGACGGTCCGGATTGGATTCTTCCAACCACGTTTGATCCGTGTTTGCCGCTGATCCGTATGTAAGCTTTGTCTGCATCTCCTTGCCCCTGTCCATTAAACAAGAAGACGCCGGAGCCTCGTCATTACGGCCGGGGTTATTACTCATGCTACATGCATCATCAACAGTCAAACACTCCAGAATCCAGATGCTCCTGATGCCATAATTCACCTGGAATTTGACCAAACGATGCTGTTTCGATCCAACCCCGCATTGCCGTTGCAATTTCTGGGCCATGCGAAACGATGCACACACATGGCTGCACGCTGCATGCACAGTGTCTACTACTCCCTCCGTCCCATAATATAAGGGATTTTGAGTTTTTGTTTGCAATGTTTGATCACTTATTTTATTCAAAAAAAAATTGAAATTATTATTTATTTTATTTATGACTTACTTTATTATTTACAGTACTTTAAACATAACTTTTTATTTTTTATATTTTAAAAAATAATTTGAATAAGACGAGTGGTCAAACGTTATAACCAAAAACTCATAATTCCATATATTGTGGGACGGAGGGATTACTCCATATCTGATCAAATCCAAGCGAGAGTGTCATGCTTAATTACCTTTTGCCATTTTCATGTACTAATCGGAGTAGTCGTAGTACATTGGTACTGCCTTACATGCCCGTATATTGCTCGTAGCACCAGAATAGTACTGTAGTACAAGACAACCAGCAGAGGACAAGGTAGCCTTTCACCCCATGGGGACCCACATGTCAGTGCCTGTGGGCCAAGGAGCTCTGCACCCAGGTGCCATGGCTTTTTTTTTTGAGACAAGGGTGCCATGGCTTTTGCTACACCAGTGTCAGCTTTGAAGAACAACTTAGCTTGGGTTACTGCTCCAAGCACTAGTAAATGTCTGACGGTTTATACAGATTTTTGTTTTAAAAATCTAGAACTCCCTCTGTCGTAAAAATACGGAACAGATCTAAATAGAGGGTGTACAAGTTAAGTTTTTTTTTTTTAACCGAGGGACCGGGAGTAGAGCAGTAGTAAGCATTTTCAGCGTCGATACAGCGTAGGAGTAATAAATGGGACTTCCATGAATGCGAGGGAGAAAACCGTTGGCTCCTCCCGTTCATTCACCGTCTAGTTTGTGTTTGGGATTTTGAGATTTTGAGCGGTCGGTCGACACGCTCTCTCGGTGCCGATTTCACGTGATCCTTTCGATTATTGTCGATTGTATATTGAAACATTGTTAGAACGTTGTGAGCAGATTGAATAGCAACGGTGGCTATCTGAATATCTGAATTTTTTTTTGATGGTTCAGATGGAAAAGCAGTTTGCACTTTGCAGCAGCTGAACGCCAAACGAATTTCGCTAAAACATCATTTCATTTGCATCGCCGATCTTGTGCGCTAATCATATTCTCAGTTGTACATATGTACATCTCAATAATCGTGTCCACTGGAGCAAGATGCTATCATCAGGTCCACAAACCCTGACTTGCTCTGCTGCTACTGCTAGTGCTATCCATTCTCCAACTTCTTAATGACACTCGCATATGGTTCCATTAAAAAATGCAGGTACTAGTATAATAAATACGCCGTCAGTGATCTTAACAATGGTAGTTAATGAGATGATTAGAACTCCCAAATCAAGGGCAACTGTATCTGTCCTGCCTGCATTTGTCCTCCGGCATTCTGACCAAATGAGCAGCAGCACATCCTGCCCCCACACGATCGATGCAAAATCCTGGTGTTTTTGGACAAAAAATGATGGCGTTCACCATATGTCGTATTCTTTTGATGCTCCTGCGGAAAAAAAGCTGACTCCACATCACACGCACCTGCTGCTGCTATCTCTCTCGCCTCGGACACAAACAAGTGAAGACGAGCACGAATGCAAAGCCTTCTGCAGTGCAATGCTTGCACTTCTGCAGGCTGCAGCTCACACATGAAAACTTGTCGATCTCTTGATGACAGCCAAGCTCAGTGACAGTGATATTGAAACAGGAACTCAAGAAACCTGTGTGAACAAACAATTCGTACCGTGTCCAAGGATTCACAGCATCTCAATCGCTGATGACATGCCTGTCTATCTGCAGGGAGTCACAGATCACGAGAAAAGTTTCAGATCATCAAAGAGAAAGATGCTTCTCGTGTGACCAACGTGTCGGCAAGGATGAACAGTAAGAAAGGCCATCGATAGAAGAAGCAAAGTCGAGAGCTAAGCTCAGTGGCTAACGCAATTGATTTGATCACTCACGTTTTGGGGTAGGGAACGCTTGGTATGAACGCCACCAAATTAGTCGCCAAGGGAAGTATTCGCATCGACGCAAAGGATTTGCTAGATAGCTAGGTGGATCGAGCACTATCGATCGCCATGGGAGGATATCTTGAGCGTTTGTCTTCATGCTCGAGTTGAGGATGAGAGATTCGATTGATCGGACCCCAGGTTGGTGGAACTAGTTAATCCTGGCGTGTTCGTCACTTTAAGCAACCCCAAATCGCTCATGAATTGCAACAGTGCGTGCTTACAGGATGAATGCTGCATATGTCATGGTTATTTTAGCTGGCCCTAATCAAAGTTTGCTGCAGCTTTCAAGAGTTCTGAAATGTTTTTGGATGGATCAGTTTGGATTCAGAAATTCATGTTGAGCAGATGGCTTTGTAGATGGCCGATTAGAGTCCCTATTTTGGAATGGTAGTTGCGATCCAATAAAGCCCAAATGAATTTTCAGGCCTAGGCCCGTTTATGGTTCACGAAATTCCCCGCCAAGCTAATTAGGCCCACAACACTTTGGATCTAAATTTATGGCCCACCAGTAAGGCCCACATTAATGGGCCCACTTCCTGACGTGCCGTTTCTTTGCCGACTGAGACCCATCTCCTCCATTGGCGCGAATCTCTCGCCGCCGACGCGAATCTGCACTGCAACTCTGCGAGCCTCGAAGCAAGGATTCTGTTCGATGATGTCCGTAACTGAATTTCTGAGCTCGAACACGTCAAACGTTCATGCCGTTTCGATGGCTTTCCACTCCACCCTCGCGTTACTGTGGCGTGCTTCTTGCTATCTCTTCTACCATTTGATCTTCTTTCCCAGTTAGGGCATGCAGTTACACACGAAGCATATCTGCTCATGTCATCATGCATCTACATCATCGACATGTCATGCTCATGCCATTGGCATGCACTGTGAGTGTTCGTCATTATTCCCACGAGCGCAAGAACGCTCGAGAAAGATTGGCACCATGTCAACCATTGCCGCTGCTGTATAAATGGTTGCTAGGTTGCAGTGTGCCAGTGTCAATTGTGTGGCTGTGACCTAGCTAGTCGATCGGTCATGTCGTCGCAGCAATGGCTTGGTGACGGCACGGCGCGGAGGTGGAGGGAGCTCCATGGTGAGAGCGACTGGGACGGCCTCCTGGACCCGTTCGACCTCGACCTCCGCCGCACCGTCATCCGCTACGGCGAGATGGCGCAGGCGACGTACGACGCCTTCAACCACGAGAAGCTCTCGCCGCACGCGGGCCTCTCGAGGTTCGCCGCGCGCCGCTTCTTCGAGCGGGCGCAGCTGCCGGGCCACTCCGCGGCGTACCGCGTCGCCAGGTTCGTGTACGCGACGTCGTGCGTCGCCGTGCCGGAGCCGCTCATCCTCCGGTCCGCGTCGCGCGCGCGCAGGTGCAGGGAGAGCAACTGGATCGGGTACGTCGCGGTGGCCACCGACGAAGGGAAGGCTGCGCTCGGGCGCCGCGACATCGTCGTCGCGTGGCGCGGCACGGTGCAGTCGCTGGAGTGGATCAAGGACATGGACTTCGTCATGGTGCCACCCAAGGGCCTCCTCCGGGACAAAGCTTCCGACGCCATGGTGCATCGAGGGTGGCTGTCCATGTACACCTCCAGGGACTCTGAGTCCAGCCACAACAAGGACAGTGCTCGAGATCAGGTAGTAATGGCCGGAGTAGCACGGCAAGGTCACCTACCACATTGTCACTGATCGACATGGATGTTGCCATGCAGGTGTTGAGCGAGGTGGCGAAGCTGGTGAGCATGTACCAGGACGAGGAACTGAGCATCACGGTGACGGGACACAGCCTCGGCGCCGCACTCGCGACGCTGAACGCGTTCGACATCGTCGAGAACGGGTACAACAGGGCACCCCGCGCCGCGGCAGCGGCGGCGGGCTGCCCGGTCACCGCGTTCGTGTTCGCCAGCCCGCGCGTCGGCGGGCACGGCTTCAAGCGCCGCTTCGACGGCGCGCGTGGCCTCGGCCTCCGCCTCCTCCGCGTCCGCAACGCGCGCGACGTCGTCCCCAGGTACCCGCCGGCGCCGCCGTACCACGGCGTGGGCACAGAGCTGGCGATCGACACGGGCGAGTCGCCGTACCTGAGGAGGCCCGGGAACGAGCTGGTGTGGCACAACCTCGAGTGCTACCTGCACGGCGTGGCCGGCGCGCGCGGCGGCGAGGCCGGGCGGTTCAAGCTCGCCGTGGAGCGCGACGTGGCGCTGGCGAACAAGTCCTACGGCGCGCTGCGCGACGAGCACGCCGTGCCGGCCGGGTGGTGGATCCCGTCGAACAGGGGCATGGTGAGAGGCGCCGATGGCCGCTGGACTCTGATGGACCGCGAGGAAGATGAGGATAGTGCAGAGTAAATGATTGGATGGAGTGTATCAATGTGCATGAGCATGAACTCGCATATGCATCAAGAAATAATTACTGGACATCTCAACGTGTCCAAATCAATACCTTTGTATCTGTAACAATGTCCAAATCAACACATGCATTTGACTGGACAGAGTTTTATTTACAAATGAATTATGTGATATGAGGGGGAAATCCCATTTATTCGACGTGTCAAGCCCATTAACGAGCACTTCTATACGTAATCCATTTTGCAAATTTTTCGAAATCGAGAGCTTAAATTTGCTCGAAATCGTGGAGCGCCCAGTGCCCATCGGCGTCCTTGACCATGCACCTGTTCTTGGAGACCCACCACCGGGGCGGCACGGGGTACTTGTCCTTGAGCGCGTCGACGCCCTTGTTCGCCAGCGCGACGTCGCGGTCGACCTCCAGCTTGAACCCGCCGGCGCTGCCCTGCTCGCCGGCGACGCCGTGGAGGTAGCACTCGAGGTTGTGCAGCGTCTCGATGGTCCCCGGCGACCGCAGGTACGGCGACCGGCTGGTGCTGATGCGCAGCTTCACGGCCACGTCCACGTAGCCCAGCGGCGGGTACATGGGCACCACGTCGCCGGCGTTCTTGACGTGGAGCGCCCTCAGGTCGGGGAACGACGCGAACGCTGCCTTGAAGAAGCCGTCGCCCACGCGCGGGCTCGCGAACACGATCGCCGTCACCGGGCACGGCGGCTGCGACGACGACGAGCTCGCCGGCGGGCAGTTGGCGCCGTTGGCCACGATGTCGACGGCGTTCAGGGTCGCCAGCGACGCGCCCAGGCTGTGCCCGACGACGGTGATGCTCGTCACCTCGTCCTTGTACAACTCCATCAGCCTCCTCACTTCCTCAAGAACCTGCAAGCATTTTCTTGCAGAATTAATCTTTTTTTCTTTTTGGACATGACGCATGGTTAATCGAGAGGTTTTTTTTTCGGTGTAATCATGGGGCCTCATCTTTTCGCTTATGCTTATATTTATCAACCAAAATTTGAATTTTCAACATTAAATTTAGAGCTGATTTTGAGGTTTTCTCATCGAAGTTTATTTTTCAGCGTTTGCTTTTAGATCATTAATTAAGAACACTTATATAAAAGTTTTATTTATAAATCACTTTTCGTTTGTAAATTTGCCATTCCGCTTATTCCACGAATAAAAGAAACGATGGCTCCCAAGTAGTAACTTGAAGGTAGCTTATGTGATCAGACATTATGTAAAAATATGTGATTATCTTATTTGGTTGGGCATTATGTTAAATTGTGATTATATAGGCAATATCAGTGTCACATAAATAAATCTTTCAAAGTCTTATTTTAACTCTTGAAAAGACAATCCCAAAACAGAACAAGAATGTGCCACATCATCTAATGAATAATAGCCGTTAAATCAATAAACAAACAAAACAGGTAAAATAAATCTTAGTCATTGGATAAAAGATGATGTTCTAGAGCTTTCCGTTGTCTCCTTGATATGTGGGAGAGAGATATAGAGCAAATAAGACACACATAAGAACTAAAGAAAAAAAAATAAATGTTTGCATGGTTGAGAGAAATGATAAAGCCATTTCTTCTTGAAACAAACATATATTTTATATATTTTTCACAATAATATTTTTAGTGAAATTAGATATTACGCCATTTTAACTCTTGAAAAGACAATCCCAAAACAGAACAAGAATGTGCCACATCATCTAATGGATAATAGCCGTTAAATCAATAAGCAAACAAAACAGGTAGAATAAATCTTAGCCATTGGATAAAAGATGGTGTTCTAGAGCTTTCCGGTGTCTCCTTGATATGTGGGAGAGAGATATAGAGCAAAGAAAACACACATAAGAAATATAGAAAAAAAATAAATGTTTGCATGGTTGAGAGAAATGATAAAGCCATTTATTCTTGAAACAAACATATATTTTATATATTTTTCACAATAAATATTTTAGTGACATAATATCAGAAATAGATATTACGTCACTAATCGAAATATAGTGATAGTCACGTGAATGCACGACTTCATGCACTAGTCTTATGTGATTAGACATTATCTTAGAAAAATGTGATTAGATAGGAAATATCAGTATCAAAAAAACAAATCTTTCAAAGTCAAATGCTAACGATAAGGACATTGTTTGAGAACAGTTTAGATAAATCTGACGAGTAGCATAACAAATATAGGATAGCTACAATTAATTCAGTCAAAGGCAACAACACAAGTTTGGTGCATCTAATCCAACATATCTATATATGCAAGTCTGACTGTCGCTGTGACAGGTACAATAATGAACATTATTAGAGATCGAATAATTGAAGAAATTAATCAGCAAGAAGGCGCGCTCAGATTGACGAGCGATATTATATAACTTAAACTTTTTTTATAGCAACATAGTTTAACACGTTATGTGTGTATACCTACTTAATTAGCTAGATGATGATACTTAGAAAAATATAATGACGAAGCCCGCTACCAGAGATAACAAAAAATAATTTGCACATGCATCTGTAAATGAATGCTATTTGTATTAATTAAGTTAACTAATTGAACAGCTTTAATTTACTAGCCACACTTTATTATAAGAAACTAGCATACTACCCCTTCCGGTCATGACAAAATATATTGGCGTGTTGTAATATTCAAGGTATGAAAATTTGAGTATCAGCATCTTTTAAAATATTTTGTTCATAGTTGGGTAATCTGCTCATTATGAGCTTAATTTGACATCATCCGTAATCTGTCACGCTATTCCATTATTGCTTTCTACCCCTTTGTAGAATTATAATAGCTGAACAAAAATACCGTTCTCTTTAATTAATTTTATAAAACCTATATTTTGGCCCTATTTTTGGTATGGAGGATTTTTCAGAGTTGAATGTACCTACCTTATCTTTGAAACAACTTAAATGTATCTACCTGCATAGCTGACCACCCTTAACATCCTATGCAATACTTCGCAAATAATTAAAAATGTGCTTCTTTCAACTAATATGTCAATTTTCCAGGCAAAGATAAATCAATATCCCAATTTCCTGCTTGAATTAATGCAACTATGCAAAAGTAATGATAATAAAAAAGAAGAAACAAAAATTCAAGAAATACCATTGATAATCACTTAATTTCAAGAAATATCATCGACAAGTACAGGTTCTATGAAATGCCATTGTACAAACAATTTTGTTTCAGAAATACCACCAATGTCAAGGTTTCAATTCGTTACTAGTCTTCCGTTAAGTGATATAAGATGAACAGTGCATTTAACGACACATGATCAATAGAACCCTAACAACGATAATGTTTATGGAACAAAATCGCTTGTACGATGACATTTTATAGAACTTGCACTCGTCGATGATATTTATTGGATTTGGGTGTTTGTTAATGGTATTTTTTAGATTTTCTCATAAAAAAATCGGTTAACATGGAGCAAACTGAAAGGTGCATTCAGTATTCGAGTGGGATTCTCTGCAGTATTCACAAAAAGAACATTTATAATTTATTGTTACCGTGGTCATATAGAATTCTCTACCTTTCCAACGTCAAAAGAGACACATGCATGGATGATTAATTTGCAAATTAAAGGTGTTATTAATTGTCTCGAGACTTTCGTCTTGTGGTAGTAATAGGCTAATAGCTTAGGTCAAATAATCACTGGAAAAGTGAAGTGGAATTCACCTGGTCTCTGGCGCTGGCCTTGTTGTACTTGGAGTCCTTGTTGCTGGACGTGTACACGGACAGGAAGCCCCGGTGCACGATGGCGCGCGGGTTCGCGGCGGCGGCGGCGCCCAGCACCGGCGCGGCGGGCACCGGCGTGAAGTCGAAGTCGTTGACCCACTCCAGGCTCTCCACCGTGCCGCGCCACGCCACGACGATGTCGCGCCGCCCGAGCGCCGCGACGCCCTCGTCCGTCGCCACGGCGACGTACCCCATCCAGTTGGACTCCCTCGACCACGCCGGCGGCAGCAGCGACGGCAGCGGCAGCAGCAGGAATGCCTCCGGGACGGGGAGCCCCGACGTGGCGTAGACGAACTTGGTCACCGCGTAGCTGCCGGCGGCGGACGCGCCCGCCGCGGCGAGGAGGTCGCCGTGGCCATACACGCACGCGCCGGCGTGCGGCGAGCGCCTCTCCCGGTTGAAGGAATCGTAGGTGGCCTGCACGAGCTCGCCATAGGAGAGGATGGAGGAGCGGAGGTCGAGGTCGAGCGGGTCGAGGAGGCCATTCCACGAGTCCTGCCCATGGAGCTCGCGCCACCTGTCGGCGATGCCTCCAAGCATCGGCGACGACGACATGGCCCGGCTGGTGTTTTGTTGCTTGCAGCTACGTTGGTTTTTTTTTTTTTGGCGACTTGCTAGGATAGCTAAATCTTGTGCTTTGTTCGTTTCTGCTTTGGCGCGTGTGTATTTATATAGGTCGTTTCGATGTGGTCGATGCTGATCGACGTGGCCTTGTATTCCTATAATTTTTTTTTAGATATACTACCTCCGTTTCACGATATAAGATTTTCTAGCATTGTCTATATTCATATAGATACTAATGAATCTAGACATTATTATATAGATATTCATTAGCATCTATATGAAAGTGGACAATGTTAGAAAGTCTTACATTGTGAAACGGAGGAAATACCTTATATAACTTGAACTACTATAACTTATTACTCCCTCCGTTCTTAAATATTTGACGCTGTTGAGTTTTTTAAATATATTCAAAAACTTTTGTGAAATATGTAAAACTATATATATACATAAAAGTATATTTAACAATGAATCAAATGATATGAAAAGAATTAATAATTACTTAATTTTTTTTAATAAGACGAACAGTTAAACATGTTTAAAAAAGTCAATGGCGTCAAATATTTAGGGATGGAGGGAGTAACTTATATGGCTATATACATTTACATGCCTCTAAGAAATTTACTTAAAAACCTGATATTGGACACTTCCATTTTCACATTTTGATCGTTCAGCAAAATATTTGCAAATGCTAGAAATTATGCTATATTGTTAAAACGTGTATATAGGAAAAACTTATATTAAGTAGTCTAAGATGAAAATAATTACTGTTAGTTACTTGAGAACGAAGTATATAAGCCCAAATAAGATTTTGTCACAGAACTGCGTGCATGCATGCACTGTGCAGGACATATACTCTTATATATGCATGATTTCGATCAAATATAGTTTAACTCTGTCGTACATAACCACACATACATGTGCATGATACTACTAAATTAACGTACTAATTAAACTGATCATGCATTTTTGGCTTTGTCTGGCGTCCGGTACTCCGGTTTGCACGAGCTGGACTCCGATCAAACGTCACAGCCGGTGTTAGCTAGGCGTGTGCGTACGCGGTCTTTCTATCTAACAAGCGATATATCCTACGTGCACTCGTTTGCCACACTGGCTAAGAATTACGCGTGTTCCTCTGCCAGATCGCACTGTGTTTATTTCAGTTTATGATCCACTGTCATCGTGGATAAACATAACAGGGGATACACACTGAATTTTAATTTGTAAATAACCAATGCAAATAGAGTCGTCGATGGCTACTAGCTGTTCTCGGTCAAGGAATATATCGGTTTGATTCTTGTCGTCGCTCATAGGTTGTGATGCTAGTAGCAACCTGACTTTGATTTTGTGGTTGGCAAGTGTTGCAATCATGTGCCCCTTTTATTAGTATTTACTTTCTTGATGAACTTAACTTTGCAGTTCTCTGGTTTCAGTAAGAAGAGGCAAAAACCGATGGTAATTCGAGGCATATCCCAGCTAGCAACTAGGCAACTGGCCATGGCCAGCATTGGTGTGTACATGGTCAGTGAGTTTGTCACTTGATTGCGTGCAAGCTTTAGTTGCTTGTGGCCACGAAATTCTGACCATTTTCTTGTTCATGTTCTCTTCTTGTGTATTGTAGATATATAGACAGGCTCAGCAAAAATAAATGTCCGTTTCCTCTCAATGGCGAATGAAAATCGCTTACTACCTATCCATCGCTCTCAAGCGTACGTGCAGCATGGGCATAAATAAATCAACGAAATCAATGCTCCAACAGATATTGATATCAATGGAATCAAGCATCCAACAGAGGTTGATATTATCATAGGGGTTTTACTTATTCAGGAGGAGTTATTGATTCCAGTACGGGTAACAAGGATAAAAGACAGAGAGAGTAGCACATTCCAACTGTTTCTGACCACTGAAAACGACCACACATCCAACGTTGGACAGGATCAGGATTAACCCCCCCCCCCCCCACCTGGACACATGTGTGTCTTGGTTCATTGCTAGAAGTTATCTTTTTTTTGGACGGAATAGTACATATTAGTGTAAGAGAACGGCTAGACAACGGGATTCCGTTTCAACGGGATAAGTGTTGATGTCACCTTCCCCGCATCTAGCGCTCCATCGCTCCCAACTAACATGTCTGAACCCAAGTCGCACATGCCGCTCCACGTCAAACATGCGCTATTCCGTGTTCCCACTAGTGCAAGTGCCCTAGCTTGACCGATCTACGTGCATATTAAATGGGTCTCAACGACCAGGTCTCTTTTTTTTTTGAGAAACCGAGATATTTATATTACCAAACCAGCAGAATCGCTGGATACTAGCCGTTACAGACTAGGAGGGCAGCCTGCCCAGGAAGACACGGTCTGGAGATTACAGCCATACGCGGCAAGCTCATGCGCCACCTTATTACAACTTCGGGGCGAGTAGCTAACAGAGAAGGAATGAAAACAGCTCAAAACTACATGTTTAATCTCAAGAATCACTCCTATTAGATATAATCATGTGTAAGCATAACAACCTGGCCGTATCGATCTTATCTTAGCTGATAGATAATGATTGTAATCAGGATTAGTTAGAGAGATATTAGCCAAGGTTGTTATGATCCTGTAAAGCCATGTTGCCGGCTATTGGCAACCATATAAATATACGCGGGCGCACCAAGATCGGTGACGACACCGCTTCTTGCACCTCTGTTTCCTTTCATGGTATCAGAGCACCACAAACTCCTTTCAATCCAATCTATCAATGGCAAGTTCGTCCCAGTCTTCGGCCTCAGGTTCCCTCGGAGGAATCACGGTCACGGAGAAGTTGAGCAAGGGAAACTACCTGATCTGGAAGGTTCAGGTTCTCGCCGTCATCCGAGGAGCACGCCTCGACAGCTACCTCACCGGCGCCACAAAGAAGCCGTCGGCGACCATCATCATCAAGAAAAATGAGAAGGAGGTTGAGGTCTCCAACCCGGCGGTCGATGAATGGATCGCCAATGATCAGCAGGTACTAGGTTATCTGCTAACCACTATGAGTAGAGATGTTCTCTCCCAGGTGGCTACATGCAGCAGTGCTGCATCTCTCTGGAGCACGATTGAAGGGATGTTCTCTTCGGCCACAAGGGCGCGCTCCATCAACACCAAGATCGCACTGACGAACACGAAGAAGGGCGACCTCGGCATTGCTGAATATGTCAGCAAGATGAGGGTGTTGGCCGACGAGCTGGCGACTTCCGGCAAGCCCGTTGATGAAGAAGACCTGATCTCGTATATAATTGCGGGATTAGATGAAGATTTCGAGCCCATCATCTCCTCCCTAGTGTCCAAATCTGAGCATGTAAGCCTAGGAGAGGCTTACTCACAGCTGCTCAGCTTTGAGCAGCGCATGAAGATGCGCCAGGAACACTCGGCCAATCTCGCCAACAGAGGGCGTGGCCGCGGCAATCCAGGAAGGGGCCGCAACAATAAGCAGCCGCAGCAGCAGCAACGCGGCCATGGAGGAAACAGCCGCGGCAGAGGACGCGGCAACAACTCCAACCAGCGACAAGGAGGCAATGGCGTTGATTATCGCCCCAAGTGCCAACTTTGTTACAAAAGGGGGCACACCGTGATTGATTGCTGGTACAGGTATGATGAGGATTTTGTTCCTGATGAGAAATATGCAGGCACAACAGCATCCTATGGAGTAGATTCAAATTGGTATGTAGACACCGGCACTACGGACCATGTCACCGGGGAACTTGAGAAGTTGACCATCCGGGACAAATACAAGGGCCAGGACCAAGTGCAAACTGCAAACGGCGCAGGTATGGTAATCACTCACATAGGTCATTCAGTTGTTAACACCCCAACACGTTCCCTTCACTTGAAAAACATTCTATATGTTCCCAATGCTAGTAAAAACTTGATTTCAGCCTATTGTCTTATGGTTGACAATGCAGCCTACTTTGAACTGTACCCTAAACATTTTTCTCTCAAAGATCAGGCCATGAAGGAGATGCTTCTTAGAGGACGCTGTCATGGCCGGCTGTTCCCGCTTCCATCTTCATCGCTTTCGACTCAACAAGACAAGGAAGCACTAGCAGCCACCACACCGTCCCTTGAGCGATGACATTGCCGCTTTGGTCATCCCTCCTATGCTATAGTAGAGAAAGTAGTCCATAATCATGATCTACCAGTTTCAGCAGAGTCCAATAAATTGTTAGTTTGTGATTCTTGTCAAAAAGGGAAAAGCCATCAGCTACCCTTTCCCAAGTCGTCTAGCGTTTTTAGCAATCCTCTTGAGTTGATTTATTCAGATGTTTGGGGTCCCGCTCCTGTTGCTGGGGGTGGAAAGAAGTACTATGTAAGTTTTATTGATGCTTTCAGTAGGTTTACGTGGATCTATTTTCTCAAGTATAAGTCTGAAGTTTTTCAGAAGTTTCAAGAGTTTCAGTGCCTTGTTGAGCGTATGTTTAATAGAAAAATCATATCCATGCAAACCGACTGGGGAGGCGAGTATCAAAAATTGAATACCTTCTTTAATAAAATAGGCATCACACACCATGTTTCATGTCCACACACCCATCAACAAAATGGCTCAGCTGAACGCAAACATCGACACATCGTTGAAGTTGGTCTTTCTCTTTTAGCCCATGCTTCTCTACCACTAAAATTCTGGGATGAGGCCTATCAATCTGGTGTTTATTTGATTAATCGCATGCCCACCAAGGTTCTTGGTTATTCCTCTCCTCTTGAATGTTTGTTTAAACAAACTCCTGATTATCAAGCCCTTAGAACCTTTGGGTGTGCCTGCTGGCCAGATCTTAGGCCATATAACTCTCATAAGATGCATTTCCGTTCTAAGAGATGCACTTTCCTTGGGTACAGTCCTCTTCATAAAGGCTTTCGGTGCTTAGATTCATCTACTGGACGCATTTATATCTCCCGTGATGTTGTCTTTGATGAGTCTGTTTTTCCTTTTGCCGAACTAAATCCAAATGCTGGAACCAATCTTCGTAAAGAAGTTAATCTTCTTCCTGCCGATATGCTTAACCCTGGGGATGTTCAGCTGAATGATCATGTGAACTATTACCCTACTGCTCCTGCTAATATGGTTGCTGCAGAAAATCCCGTGGAAAATACAGAAGAAAATCTCGCCAGCACTCGTGATGATGCAGCTGATTCCGGTGGCAGCGACACAGGCACGATCTCCAACGCTGATCCAGCAGACGATGCAGCAGGTGACATGACCGCCAACCCCAATTTGAATGACAGTTCGACACATGAGAGCAGCATCAGTGCGTCGGCTTCTCCTGCCAGCCAATCGTCCGTCGCCACGGCACCAGAAGCCACACTTCCCAATCCGCAACAACACCAGCAGGCGCTGAGATCCTCTACGCCCGAGGGAGAAGCGAGCCGTCCTGTCACACATCTTCAAAAAGGTATTCGCAAAGAGAAAATTTATACCGATCGTACTGTTAAGTATGGCTGTCTTACTACCACCGGAGAACCTAGGGATTTACATGATGCTTTGCATGACACAAATTGGAAACATGCTATGGATGCAAAGTTCACAGCTTTATTGCATAATAAAACATGGCATTTAGTTCCTCCTCAAAAGGGAAGAAATATTATAGATTATAAATGGGTCTATAAGATTAAAAGAAAACAAGATGGTAGCCTTGACAGATATAAAGCTAGGCTAGTTGCTAAAGGTTTTAAACAAAGGTATGGGATAGATTATGAGGATACCTTTAGTCCTGTTGTCAAGGCAGCCACAATCAGAATTATTCTATCAATTGCTGTGTCTAGAGGTTGGACTCTAAGACAACTAGATGTGCAAAATGCCTTCCTTCATGGTATTCTTGAAGAAGAGGTATACATGAAACAACCACCTGGGTATGAAGATAAGGTCCATCCTGACTATGTGTGTAAGCTTGACAAAGCTCTCTATGGTTTAAAACAGGCACCTAGAGCATGGTATGCTAAGTTAAGTCAGAAGCTTCAACACCTTGGATTCCAAGGATCCAAGGCAGATACTTCTCTATTCTTTTATAATAAAGGGGGTCTAATAATTTTTGTGCTTGTTTATGTTGATGACATAATTGTTGCTAGCTCGAGACAGGATGCAGTTCCAGCTCTGCTAAAGGACCTACAAAAGGATTTTGCCTTAAAGGATCTAGGTGACTTACACTACTTTCTTGGCATAGAGGTAAACAAGGCATCTAGTGGCATTGTTCTAACCCAGGAAAAATATGTTACTGATCTACTAAGACGAGTTGGTATGACTGATTGTAAACCTGTTAGTACACCTTTGTCAACTAGTGAGAAACTCACTTTGCATGAAGGAGATTTATTAGGTCCCAATGATGCATCTAATTACAGAAGTGTAGTAGGAGCACTCCAGTACTTAACTCTGACTAGACCAGACATTTACTTTCCAGTAAATAAGGTATGTCAGTTTCTACATGCTCCTACTATAGTTCATTGGGCTGCTATGAAGAGAATATTAAGGTATTTAAAACAATGTACTAAACTTGGTTTAAAGATTAGTAAGTCAAAGTCTATGCTTGTTAGTGGATATTCAGATGCAGACTGGGCAGGAAATATAGATGATAGAAGATCTACAGGAGGTTTTGCAGTATTTCTAGGGGATAATTTGGTTTCTTGGAATGCAAAGAAACAAGCTACTGTGCCAAGGTCTAGTACTGAATCAGAATACAAGGCCTTGGCTAATGCTACAGCAGAAATCATGTGGATACAAACTCTGTTAGAGGAACTCAGTGTGCCAAGTCCTCCAATGGCTCGACTGTGGTGTGATAATCTTGGTGCTAAATATTTATCATCTAACCCTGTCTTTCATGCTAGAACTAAGCATATTGAGGTTGACTATCATTTTGTACGTGAAAGAATGCAACGAAAATTACTTGAAGTGGAGTTTATTCCTACAGGTGATCAAGTGGCCGATGGATTTACAAAGGCGTTATCGGCAAGACAACTTGAAAATTTTAAGTACAATCTCAATGTAGGTAGGTTGTGATTGAGGGGGAGTATTAGATATAATCATGTGTAAGCATAACAACCTGGCCATATCGATCTTATCTTAGCTGATAGATAATGATTGTAATCAGGATTAGTTAGAGAGATATTAGCCAAGGTTGTTATGATCCTGTAAAGCCATGTTGCCGGCTATTGGCAACCATATAAATATACGCGGGCGCACCAAGATCGGTGATGACACCGCTTCCTGCACCTCTGTTTCCTTTCAACTCCTCCTAAAGATGATAGGTTAAAAGAATTATCCTGGATCACATTTCGAAGCATTCCGAAGCATCAATGACCAGGTCTTGAGAGAGCTGCTTAGTTGGGCACTTTGAGTTGTGATATATTAATTGAGCTTGGGCAGGCATGGCCGGATGTCTTGGCAAGACAATATGTCTCCCGAGCCATGGAGCGAGGCTTGTGAAAAATAAAAAGATTATTTTTGTCTTGGTAATCTTTGACGATACACTATTATGTCTGGTACTGATCAGATTGACTAGTGCACATTGGGCTCTCACTATGCCTGATTTATATATGCCTTTTCGTACTAGTGAGAAAATCTACAGTTAAACTGTTAAACGGTGTATTTCGTGCGAAAACTTTCTATATGAAAGTTGTTCTAAAATATAAGAATAATCCATTTTTAAGTTTGTAATAATTAAAACTTAATTAATCACACGTTATTACCATCTTGTTTTATGTGAAACACTCAATCTTTATCTTCATCTTCATTTTCATGAGATTCAAACGCTACCTAGGTAGCGTTTCATCTGTGTTCCTCAATCGCAAACAAGATGCGAAAGTGTCTTCCAACTACTAGAACCACTGTAAATCGAGCCCTCGACAATATTAAGAATGGTCTCGACTGGTGCCTATATGCTTGTTAACTCGGTCTTCATCCTGTGTGACGCCTACGATACAACTACGTAACACTAGAAGAGAAAATAGAAACACCAATTGGACCCACATTTCAGTGGGTACACATTTAAAGAAATGCAATAGGACAAACTTGTCTGGCTACAGGCTACATAGTCCTCAGTACTTCTACCAATATCATGGAACATGCAAGAGGCAAGGAGAAAGAACGTGGGAGGAAATGTTCTGCTAGGAATAACTTGAATAATTTTCTTGGATGGCACTAGTATCACTGTATGAAAATTGTTTACAGCGGATGCTCTCCAAGCAACAGCGTAGAAGATGATGACATCCGACATGCCTATGATTTTCACTCGAGCTGTTGTCGTGAGATTTAAAAACTTCAAAATTCTAAATTCTAAAGGTCGAAGATGAAATTCACACGGTTTTCGGTTGATGCCATGGTAACTGTCTTGCTATGTATGTGTACACCAATTTTAATATACGAAAAACCACACATTTTGAAACAATCCGAATCTTGGGAAATGCATCTAGGCAATTCAAATTCAAATTTTGACCAAATCCTTGCTAAATTACCTAGAAAATGCTTTTAAATGATAAATGGGCCTTTAAATGGATAGTAGTGGGCTCCGTGCCAAAAAGCCCAAAAACTGATTGAAAGGCCCCACCAACCAGAAAAGCACCATCCCGCGCCAGAAAACCAATCACAGTATCCCCTCTCCCGCCTACAAATTTTTGCCACGTCACCGATCCGCACGGGAACTCATCGCGACCGTCTACCGAAACAGCACCGGACGTCCCACGTCGCTCCACGTCACCGATCCGCGTGGTAAGCGTCTCCACCAATCAGCGCCCACCTCTAGCCTGCTAGTACTATATAATAAACTCGTCCCCTTCGTCTTCCCCACATCACAAATCAAGCTCACACACCCAGCGAAATCCAAGAAGAGAGAAGCAGCCATCCATGGCGCCCAAGGCGGAGAAGAAGCCGGCGGCGAAGAAGCCCGCGGAGGAGGAGCCCGCGGCGGAGAAGGCCCCGGCGGCGGGGAAGAAGCCCAAGGCGGAGAAGCGGCTCCCCGCGGGGAAGGGCGAGAAGGGCGGCGCCGGCGAGGGGAAGAAGGCCGGGAGGAAGAAGGGGAAGAAGAGCGTGGAGACCTACAAGATCTACATCTTCAAGGTTCTCAAGCAGGTCCACCCCGACATCGGCATCTCCTCCAAGGCCATGTCCATCATGAACTCCTTCATCAACGACATCTTCGAGAAGCTCGCCGCCGAGGCCGCCAAGCTCGCCCGCTACAACAAGAAGCCCACCATCACCTCCCGCGAGATCCAGACCTCCGTCCGCCTCGTCCTCCCCGGCGAGCTCGCCAAGCACGCCGTCTCCGAGGGCACCAAGGCCGTCACCAAGTTCACCTCCGCTTAGGCTTTTCCTCTGTCCTCCTGTCTCGTCTTGTCGCTGCTAATGCTAGTTGTAGTTGTGGTAGTTTGCAGATTTGGATAGTTTGGTACTGTGGTGTATTTACCCTGGCTATTGACTATCTTGGTGGATAAGGAACACTATCATTGTTATTATGGAGAAATAGTAGTTATGCTACTTTAATCAGCTTGCCTTTGTCTGTTCTTGGTTTGTTTCCTCGTTGCATATGTTATTTGTTCGTCTGGTCTTGTTCATCGTGCCTCTATCGATATGTGCTTGTCTGAATTTCACTGAATAGGTGGATCTTCGCTAACCTCTGCAGTTACTCTTTGTAATGTTATGGGGAGTTGATTTTTTTTATCCTGTAGTGAATTCTAGACTGATAAACCCTCTGCAAGGTAACATGGGATTAGGTTTGTGGTGATCTAAGGTCCATCAGTCATTGTTCTCTTTGTGTAGGTGACAACTTTGCCAGATTGCTAGAATATCCAGAAGCTTTTATTTTTCAGCTTAGAGAGAAGCTGGAGATGATATGTCAAGTGAAGAATCTGTAATTCAAACTATCAGTACAGAAATGGCACACCTTCAAAGTTTGCTGTTCATATATATGGAACACATCGATGCTAGCTAAAATATAGGATAAGGAATAGCATGTGCAACATTTTTTGTAATCTAATTGGAGTACTACTTATTTTCTTTAATTGTTGTAGACTTCCTGAATTTTTCTATATTGTTCCTCCAAACAGCAAAATGCTCTCTAACTACGATATTACATGCTGACCTATGTAGGTGGCTGGAGACAATATATACTCCCTCCGTTTTGAAATGTTTGACGCCGTTGACTTTTTACCACATGATTGACTGTTCGTCTTATTCAAAAAATTTAAGTAATTATTAATTCTTTTCCTATCATTTGATTCATTGTTAAATATATTTTTATGTAGGCATATAATTTTACATATTTCACAAAAGTTTTTGAATAAGATGAACGGTCAAAGATGTGTTAAAAAGTCAACGGTGTCAAACATTTCGAAACGGAGGGAGTATGTGCTGGGCTCAGTAACTCGTTCATTGCCTTCTCCAGTCACAACTGCTGATACTGTAAAAGAGAAATTTCCAGAATTAGATTGAGGTAAGACCTGCAGAATACATTGGTATTTGCATATGTTTTTATGCTGTTTCCCATTGGACCTTAGATCACTATAAGGCTCTTCACAGTGTAGTGAGCTGGCGAGTTACTTCACAGCTCCATGGAGGATGGTTGATGGCGTGGAGGAGAGAGGGTGTGGGCCAGAGTTCTTCCGCATGGTTGCTCGGTTCCTTGGTGAGCAACGAGTTCCTCATCAAAAAAGCCTGCAAAAATGTCTGCAAAAAGGACTGAGCATGCACAAAACCATCGGGAGAGAGAGAGAGGGGGAAGGATGCGAACTGAAAAGCGATTCCGTGGTGGGGCCAGCCTGAAAAAAATTGGGGTTGGGTTACATGCGCGTGCACTGTGGAGAGGGGAGCTTCAACCACTTTTATTGAGTTTCTTTCATACGTGGACATTTGGGTTCCTCTCCCAGGCTCACCGCACTGCTACTGCCCTAAGGTGAGTATGTTGTATCAATTTTGGAGGGGGTGGTAATTCTGCATGAAGTGTTACATGAACTCGACACTAAGAAAGAGAGGGGTATTATCTTTAAGATAGATTTCGAGAAAGCCTACGATAGAGTGCAATGGCCTTTTTTGTTTGAAGTCATGAGGAAGAAAAATTTTGGAGAAAAATTTATTGGGTGGGTGAGAAATGCTGTTGAAGGTGGTAAAGTGGCAATCAACATTAATGGAGAACAAGGGGAGTTTTTTAGAACATATAGAGGTCTGAGACAAGGAGATCCGTTATCACCAATCCTCTTTAACTTAGTTGGTGATGCATTAGATCTGATTCTTGAGTCAGCCAAGAAAGCTGGGGTTCTCGTGGGTTTATCTCCTAATCTGATTGAAGGGGGTATCACTCACCTGCAATATGCAGACGACACGATTCTATTTGTGAAACCATGCAAACAAAACATCATAACTCTGAAGTTCTTGTTGTTCTGCTTTGAAGAGATGTCGGGGATGAAAATAAACTACCAGAAAAGCGAAGTATTTGGAGTGGGATTGGAGGATGGGGATCTTCAACAGTTTGCTGACATTCTGAACTGTGAAAGAGGGAATATGCCCATTGTGTACCTAGGTCTTCCTATAAGTACTGAGAAGATTGGGAACAAAGATCTTTTCTTTTTAGGACAAAAAATGGAAAAGAGACTGGGAACTTGGATTGGGGGCTATGTTTCTTATGGTGGGAAAGAGATCTTAATAAACTCCTGCTTGTCCTCTATACCTTTGTATGCCATGGGATTTTATAAACTGCCGGAAGGGGTGCATAAGAAAATGGATTCAGTCAGAGGAAGATTTTATTGGCAGGGGATACAGAAGAAAAAGAAGAAGTATCATATGTTAAGCTGGGGGGCTATGAGTAGACCTAAAGATTATGGAGGCTTAGGTTTTTTTGGAAACAAGGAAAATGAATGTGAGTTTACTGGCAAAGTGGATTTTCAAGTTAGAAAAGGAACCTCATGATTTGTGTACTGAGCTGCTTCACAAAAAATACCTGAAAGGAGAGAGTTTCTTTAGGGAACAAAAAGGGAATATGTCTCAGTTTTGGAAAGGTTTGCAGATTGCTAAAAAATTCTGTCAGCTATACACAAAGAGAGCGGTGAATAATGGGAGGAGAACCAGTTTTTGGGATGATGTTTGGTTACTACAAGTGTCTCTGAGGGTGTATTTTGAGGATTTGTATAAGATAAATGAGCAACAAGGTGGTACTGTAAGGGAGATTTGGCAAGAAGGAGAGTGGTGCCTAACCTTTAGGAGGAATTTGGAGGGAGTTTCCTGGGATAATTGGGTAGAACTAAAAAGTTTGTTAGAGGGAGTGGAAATCAAAGAAGGGTGGGATGAATTGAAATGGGCTCTGGATGAGAAGAACGGATACTCTTCAAAATCTTTGTACAAAGCTTTAACTTTTGGAGGGGTGATAGATACCAGGGCACAGGGCTTGTGGAAAGCTAAAATTCCTTTAAAGATCAAACACTTCTTATTCATGGCCATGAAAGGGAAGATCCCTTGTGCTGCTCAGTTGAAAAAGAAAAAATGGAAAGGGGAGATTAATTGTAAAATGTGTGGTCTAGAGGAGGACACAGAACATACTATGTTTAGATGTCCTTTAGCAAGATTTTTATGGTGTGCCATTAGGGAAATAGCTGGGTGGGAGATGTCTCCAATTTCGTTCTCGGATTTCTTTCTTTTTATTAAAGAAGGAAAAGGAAAAAAGGGGGGTTTCTGGTGGGTTGTTTTAGCTGCTTGCTGTTAGGCAATTTGGTTAGCCAGGAACAAATTTGTGTTTGAAGGGGTTGTTATCAATTCTCCGTTCCACTTAATTCATAATGTGTTGATGTTTCTGCAGAAATGGAGTCTTTTACAAATTGAGGAAATGAAGGGTGTATTGAAGGCGTGGATTGAGGATATGCGAGGGAGGATGAGGTCCTGGAAACCTGATATTCAATTACCTGAAGATCTTTTAAATGTGTCTCTTATGACTAGGGTGTTTTATGTAACCTGTTAAGTAGTTGTTGGATATTTTGCTGTAGGAGTTTAGCGCCTTGTCATTTGGTAGCTTGCCTGGAGTCTGTTTCCAGAAAGCAAGTGAGGTGTTCGCATGTGTCCTTTACTTTTCTGTATCAAGACTCTGTTCTGGGCTTTCTTCAAAAAGCCGGGTCATTATTAATATAATGATCTTTCCTCTAAACATTCTAAGGTGAGTATGCTGTTTGTAACAAGGTTTGAAATGAATTACTCCCTCCGTTTCACAATGTAAGTTATTCTAGCATTTTCCACATTTATATTAATGTTAATGAATCTATATAGAATGTAGAAATGATAGAATGACTTACATTGTGAAATGGAGGAAGTATATAGAAACATCCATTGTTCACACCTGGAACCCAACCTGTCGGACGCAGATCCTCAGCAGTACCTTTTGCGGATGTGCTTCTGCTCTTGAGAAATTTTGACCATGGATAGCTAATTATCCATCTCTTGAATCCAATTTCTTCGTGATTATCGGATAAGCCATGATTATCAAGTGTCCAAGCGTGCTATTTGGCTCTGATCGGTTTGAGTTACACTGATAAGCAGTAGAAAAAAAATGAATGGCGAATTTATGAGTTCTAGGGAAAATAAATGTGCCGTTAGCGGTCTATTTAAAAGAAGATAGACTGTTTGAATGGGTTATTTGTTCAAGCACTGGCAAACCAAGATTTTGTAGGAGTACTGTGCATGTTATGGGAAACTGATCCGTTTGATATCATTTAGTTGCATTGAGCATATGCATTTTTTGTTTTTTCTTTTGAGTGGAAGCATTGAGCATATGCATACAGTCATGTAGTATGTACTAGTAGCAGCGATGAAGGATCAAATACCCGTGAGCCGTGAGTGCTCTTGAACATCAATACTGGTACTAGGATGACAAAGTACAGCTGCATAAAGCTGCTTGTTGACAACGTGCATCACAATTCTTGATGCGTGCCATACACACAGCAGCGGACCGCTCGATTTGTAGCACTGTCCTTCAGGTCTCTACGGGAGATGCAAGCCTGCAACCTTGTAACGGTGAACGAGACAAGGAAGTGGTGGTCTTGTGCTGTTTTGCAGTTGTGCGCCACGGAAACTCGCCGAGATCATGCGCTGAAGAGCACTGTGCTCGCCTGATGGTACTGTGCGACTCCCACGGAAAACCGAACGGTCCATTAGCGTGTGATTAATTAAATATTAACTATTTTTTTAAATGGATTAATATAATTTTTTAAAGCAACATTCATATATAAGCTTTCGAAAAAAATATATCGTTTTAAAAAACATGTGCGTGAAAAACAAAAGGGGAGAGGGAAGAGAGAGAGAGAGAGAGAGTTGGGAACTACAGCCAAGTGCCTGATGCTCCACACTAGCGCGTCTTTAACGACTCGACAGCCTACACTTCCAAGAGAACCTTAACAAACTTCGATTTCTGCTAGAACAGCAAAGTCAGGTCAGTCATGCAATCCCATCCACTGCTGTGTTTAGTGTTTGCAGTGCGACGTCCAACACAAGTGTTCTAATCGCCCAACAAACTGAAGACCGACAC